ACTTGGGGGAGCTGCTCTGCCCCTGCCTGCTGCAGGGCTCAGCGGGGGTTGTTTACCCCCGTGAGGTCTCAGGAGGATCAGCGGCAGTTGCTATGGCAACTCTGGAAGCCTGGATTCAGTCTCCGCAGGAACTACGGGCTCGGGGCTCTCGGCTCTCCGTCCGCAGGGCCTGGAGGCTCCGGGGCGGGGCCGCTGATCTGCTCAGCTCGGGGCAGGAGCGTCCTCGCTGTCCTGGGCCCTCCCGGCCTCTGCCTGTCCCGGGGGGAGGCCGGATCCTGGGCTGTGTCCCGGCGCCCTGTGCTCCCGGGCCTGTGTTGTTGGATTTGCGCTCCCGCCCCGCAGCTCCCTCCCTGGAGCCGCTCCCGAGCCCCTCCGAACTGCTCCGGTGCGTGCTGCAGCCCTTAGGGAGCTCGGTGCACTCTCCTGCGCTTGCAGGTGCCTGTTAGTGTCCCCGGGAGCCCGAGGGCATCCCCGCCCTCCTGGGTCCTGCTCCAACTCCCTGCGAGCCCCTTTCAGCCGCCCGGGAAGGTTGGTGCAGCTCCTGCTCCTCCGGGACGGGGCTTTCCTGTCCTGGGGACACTCGCCCCGGCCTCAGCCCGGCCCCTCCGGGGCCCCTCCCCCTCGGAGGCCTTTTGTTCCTTTATTTCTTTTTCCCCGTCTTCCTACCTTGATAGAAGCGTGAACTCCTCTCACTGTAGCATTCCAGCTGGTCTCTCTTTAAATCTCAGGCCGAATTCGTAGATTTTCAGGATGGTTTGAAGGTTATCTAGGTAATTTGTTGGGGACAGGTGATTTGGGGACCCTACTCCTCCGCCATCTTGCCCCTCCTCCCCTAATTTCTCTTTCTGATGCTTTATTATTAGTGTATAGAAGTGCAGTAGATTTCCATATGTAGATTTTGTATCATGTGACTTTACTGAATTAGTTTATCTTTTTTTTTTTTTTTGGTGGTCTTTTAGGTTTTTTATATAGTATCATGCCATCTGCAAATAGTGAAAATTTTAGTTCTTCCTTGCCAATTTGGATGCCTGTTATTTCTTTTTGTTGCCTGTTTGCTGTAGATAGGATTTCCAGTTCTATGTTAAACAATTGTTCTTTAACAGTTGAAGAGTGGATATCCCTTTCTTTTCCTGATCATAGAAGAAAAGCTCTCAGTTTATCCCCATTGAGGATGATGTTAGCTGTGGGTTTTTCATATATGGCCTTTTTTATCTGTCCTCTTAAACCTACCTTGTTGAGGGATTTTATCATGACTAGCATGTTGTTTAATCTCTACATATTTGTGAATTTTCGAGTTTTCTTTATGTAATTGTTTTCTAGTTTCATACCTTTATGGTTGAAAGACGTTTGATATGATTTCAGTCTTTTAAAGTTTATTAAGATTTGTTTTGTGTCCTGACGTATGATCTATACCAGAAAGTGTTAGTTATAGTTACAATATGCTCTTGAAAAGAATGCATATTCTGCTGCTTTGGAATCAAATATTCTGTATATATCTATTAAGTTAATTTGATCTAATGTACCACTTAAGGTGCAACACGTATTTGATAAATTGCACTTTCTTAATTTTTTTACTGTTCTTAATAATTGATTTACTGTTTGAGTGGCTCAGTCAGTTGAATGTCTGACTCATGATTTCAACTTAGGTCATGATCTCATCTCTCATGGTTATGAGATGGAGCCCCAAGTTGGGCTCTGCACTCAGTGGGGGAGTCTGCTTGGGATTCTCTCTTCTGCCCCTCCCCCCATTTCCCCATTTGCACATGCAGGCACACTCTCTCAAATAAATAAAACTTTAAAAACATTAATTGATTTACTGCTCATTTTATTGTTTTACTTATATTTTCTATAAATATTTATACTTGTTATTTTCATTCTCATCCTTTATTTACTTCTCTTGTTTAATTGCAAGATTTGATATTTATTAGTTTGTTGTCCATTAATTTAAGTGATATAGGTCTATATTTTCATATTTTTGAAGAATGTCTAGTTTTGGCATACTTCTTATGCTGCTTTCCAAAAAAAAGATTTGGAGAGGCTCATGACTTGAATGGATTCTAAACTTAAATTCCTATATTAGCCACAGTATTCCAAAGGAAAAATCCTCAATTATACATAATAGTGTTTAAATTAATTAGGTTTAGCATTTTTGAAAGAATTAGTGTTATAGAGGTAGTTACAGGGAATATTTTTTAGAACTTTGAGTTAAATAGCAAAAATTCAATTTTATGGTTTGTAATTTCTCTTTCTATAAAGGTACATACTATTTTTCACTTTAGTATCTCACATCCTCCTGTGTGAGACCTTTGTTTTGGTTCTATATGTCTGTTGTTCTCTGAATATACATCGCTCTTCCGACCATGGCACTGTCATGCATGGTTGCATTTATTATTTAATTTATCACTTGAGCACCTTTGTTTTCTAAATGATATACAAAGTTTTGGAGTTATGGTGGTAAATAAGAAAGCTATATGTCTCATAGTCATGGACTTTCTGAATTACACTACTAACACAATATGGTGATTATAAGCTTTGGAATTAGGCAGACATGGATTCAAATACTTCTTTTGCCACCTAGTAGCAGTATTACCGTGGGTGTTAATATCTCTACACCTTAGTTTTTTCATCTCATCTCATCCTTTAGAAAGGAAATACTAAATACTTCTACTTGATAGCATTTTTATGTAAAGTCTATGTAAAGAGCTAATATTTGTCAACTACTTTGCACAGCCCTTGACACACAGCAAGTGCTCAATAATGGTATGGTAATTATTGTTAATACTAGAACTACTTCTACCACAAAAATCATTGCACATGAAAACATCTTTGAGTATTTTGTCACAGTCCACATCACATTTTTCTAAGGCCATAGAGCATGAAGACTCAGACTTTAAAAGCATGCATTTCAATAGTTGAGCTAGATTTGTTGAAAGAGAGAAAAGCAATTCAGTCTTCTCTAGTTGAATGATTAAATGTGGTCTTTGTTGATTTTAGTAATATTTAAGTGAGCATATTTTTATTGTTTGTATTATAGTTTAGATCTAGTTTTATAAAATTGCTTCTTGGCTTTAGAATAACAAACGTTATTCTAACATGTGTGCAGTGAAATAGCAACTGGACACTGCTTTCCATTTTATTGTTTTGGCATCTTTTGCTTAAGTAAGGCTTATTAAATGAAATATTAATCACAGCATGGAAGTAAATACTTTACATTCTTCTGTACCTTCTCTGGACTTTGCAAATGGCATAACTTAGTTCTCTGACCTCTTTTAGTATTAAAATGTTACTGAACCATTTTACTTACCTTTTGCAATGTCAAAGGCCAATAAGAAATGTCTTAATTCTAAAACTTTTTAAATCTTTGGACTGATTTTAGGAATCTTTAGATTCATTGCAAACTTTGATGAATGATACCTGAAGTGGAAAACTGCTCAAAGTGGGCAATAGAGTTTGGACCTATCATTTTCATCTTGTAATATACAAAAATGGGGGAGGGCATAAGACTATACTTGGACTAAGTACTTGGATCCAAAATTTTGTATCTGAAGGTAGGAGAATAATGGAATTCATAGGATAAACTCCAAGTCAAAAGGCAAAAGTTTTTAAGATGAATCAAGTATGACAAGAGAGTATGTGTGTTTGATGATGGGGTGGGAAAAAGAACTCTCACATCGAATAGGCTAATCTTTTGTTCTTTTTTTCTTCTTTCTCTTTACAAAACAGTCAAATTTGACTTTTTATACCTGACAAATGGCCTACCTGAAATATTTCACAGAAGAGAGAGCAGGATTAAACTAGTATTGTGTTATTTTTTTGCTAAACTGAAATTTTTCAGTATGTTTAATTGGTTCCTCTTTATTAAATAGGGCAAAAATAAAACTTTTGGAAAGAAACTTGTAATGTTATTAAGTATATAATAGCTTAGAAGTAGTGATAACTGTGAGAAATAAAAACATTAAAAAATTAAAATGGGTAATAACAGGATTTGGGGTTAGTACAGGGAAGATCAGTGGAAGTCTCACATTCATGTAAAGACTAAACAGATATATTATTAATCTTAATAAAGACTGCTTTGGTTGGAGGGGTTAGGACAGAAGTCCCATTTATATGAATTCAAGAGAGAAGAGGAGGAAAGTAAGTAAAAGTGATAAGTATTGATAACTCCCGAGTATCATTGCTAGAAAGGCAGTAAAGTAATGAGGGATAGTTAAAGAGAGATGTAGGGGTTAAGGAAGGGGATTTGGGGTATTGTTTTATTTTTTAACACTGGAAAATATTAGAACATACTAGCTCATGGATGGATCTGGTCCATTAAAAAGTGAAAGTTAGTCACATAGGGGAGATTTGTTGCAATTTTTCTAGCATTGACAAGATGTGATGGTAACTATTGTGTAAGATTAGGGTTTGCCTTTAGATAAGAACATGATTAGTTCATCCATGGTAACGTGGGAGGGCAGAATTTATGAAAATAAATATAAGTAGATTATTGATCTAATGATAAAAGAGAGAGAGGTTCTCTTCTAATTGTTTCAGTTTTTAAATGATTTTTCCAGGTCTTCAACTGACAGTATCTGAGAGAAGGAGGATAATTGGACTAGGGCCCAATACAAAAGAAAGAGAGCTTCAGAAAACCATATAATTTAAGAAAAAAACCTGGCCTGCTTTAAATATTTATATTACCCACTTGGCTCTTGAAGTTATTATTTCAGATCCTGATTAAACTCTTTTCTCTGTTTTGGAGAAATGTTTCTCTCTTCCCTCTCAGCTCCTTATTTAGGGTGAAACAAAAAACAGTTATTCCGTTGGACAAAGTTAGATATCTGTTTTATCCTAATAAAAAGATGAACAACAGAGTATTTTTTGACAGTCTTTTATATCCAGTCACTAAGTTGTGTTTATTCTTATCAATTGCAATGTCAAAAATTAAAGGACTGTTGACATTCCGATTTCACTTTTTTCATTTCTTAAAAAATATAATTTTGTTTTTCTTCTTCTTTTAGATGTTCTTAATAGTTGCTCCTCTTTCTGTCCTCTACAACTGGAGGGATGAATTGGACACTTGGGGATATTTCAGAGTCACTATTTTACATGGTAACAAAAAAGACAATGAACTGGTTCGTGTAAAGCAGAGGAAGTGTGAAATTGCTCTAACAACTTATGAAACGCTACGTTTATGTCTAGATGAACTTAACAGGTAATGGAAATGATTACATTAATATTCTGTTTACATCCACTGTATCCTTTTATGTTGTGATTTTAAAAAAGTTCTAAATATTCTTTAGCATTTAATTTCATTTCAAAATTATTGAAATACACAGTTTATAATAACTTGTTTTCTAAGGAGGAAGAACCTATAGGTGCCTTAGCATGGAGCCTGCTTAAGATTCTCTCCTTCTGGGATCCCTGGGTGGCGCAGCGGTTTGGCGCCTGCCTTTGGCCCAGGGCGCGATCCTGGAGACCCGGGATCGAGCCCCACGTCGGGCTCCCGGTGCATGGAGCCTGCTTCTCCCTCTGCCTGTGTCTCTGCCTCTCTCTCTCTCTCTCTCTGTGTGACTATCATAAATAAATAAAAAATTAAAAAAAAATTCTCTCCTCCTTCCTCCCCCTCTTAAAACAAAACAAAACAAACCTGCATCAGATTTTATATAGTCCATTCTTTTTCCTTTATTCTATTTCCAAACAATGCATCCTAAAGGAGGGTAATACTGTTCTAAATTTCATGCATATGGCACCTCTAGATTAAGACAGCAGTTTTCGTGAATGATTTTAATTACGGGAATTTGTTGTAATTGTTGAGCGGCAAAAAATATATATATACATTTCGAGGATCAGTGTTCCAGGACTGTAAGTACCCAAAAGAAATGAGCTGGTAACGTATGCCTACCTACATCTTAAGATTTTAATGGGGCATCTCAAGACATAACTATAAAGCCATGTAAGTGTTTGATATGTAACAGATGATGCATAGGAGCACATAAAGAATCTAACTCTGCTGCAGAGTGAGTAGAATGGTCAGGGAGCTTCCCAGAGAAGATGACCTATGATCTGAGTAAGAATTGAAGGATGGATAAGTAAGAGTTGAAGAATAGAAGAATAATGTAGGAAGAGAGACCAAAGCGCATTTGCAGAGGCCTTCAGCCAACAAACATCATGGCTCATTTTTGAATAAATGAAAGCAGTTCTGATACTTTGTGTGTCTTCTGGCTATAGCATGTGTGTAAGAGGGAAGTGGCTAGGAGACAATAATAGTGTGGGAAGCAAGGAACATTTTATAAAAGACACTGAAAGCTCTCTGGAGGAATAGAGGTCTTTATTTATCGAATAGTAAAGTATCCTTGAAATGTTTACGGTGGATTACTAATATGGTAAAAATGGTCAGATTTACATTTTATGAGTAACCTATCGGCTATGTATGCAGACAGAGAAGAACCAAACTAAATGGAGAAAGACCAACTAAGAGGCTTATTATGAGCTAAATTGTGACCCTTCCAAATTTGTATGTTCAAGTCCCAGTCCCAAGGACCTCAGAATGTAACTGCATTGGAGATAATATTCTTAAAGAAGCAATTAAGTTAAAATGCGCAGCCATTAAGGTAGTCTAGTCCAATCTATCTGGCGTCCTTAGAAGAGAAAGATATCAGGAACTTGAGTACACAGAGGAAAAGATACATGGGGACACAGCAAGTGTCATATATATAAGCCAAGGAGAGAGGCCTCAGAAGAAAACAAACCTGCCAACACCTTAGTCTTGGATTTCTAATCTCTAGAACTGTTGTGTTTAGCACCTTTCGCTCATCATAATATTTTTGAGATTCATCTATGTTGTTGAAGTATCTGTGATTGTTCTTTTTTAAAGCAGACTTGTATTGCATTTTATGAATATACCACATTTTGTTACCCATTAATTTGAGAATAGATATTTATATTTGGATTTTCTAGTTTTTGGTTATTTTAAGTAAAACTCTAAGAAATGTTGCTGTGTAAGCGTTTTTTTAAGGATACATTTTCATTGATCTTGGGTAGACATACTTGCATTTCCTGGGAGTGGAATTGTTGGGATATGTAACTGGAGAAGAAACTGTAGAAGAACCTGCCAGACCATTTTCTTGATGGGTTGTACCATTTGTTCCAACTAGCATTTTTGGGGACTTCAGTTGCTTTACATATTCTCCGACATTTATCATTGTCAGTCTTTTTGTTTTTAGATATTTTAGTGTGTCTGTGGTGGTACTGTGTTGTATAATTTGTATTTTTCTGAGGTATGTATATATAAAAAATATGTTTATTCTACAGTTGTTAGATATAGTGTTCTATAAATATCAATAAGGTCAAGTTGGTTAAGAGTTGTTCTTAAGTGTTCTCTATCTTTACTGATTTTCTGTTTTATAATTTCTGAGAGAGAAATGTAATCTTCAGTTATATTTGTGTGTTTTTAAATTTCTTTCAGTTTTGTCACCTTTCAGTTCATATATTTTGAAGCTCTATTATTAGTTATACACACATTTAAGATTAGTATTTTTTCTTATCAATTGATCCTTTTATCTTAAAAAATGTTCTTTTTATATCTTGAAGTTTTATTTGATATCATTATAGACATAGAGTCTTCTTATAATTACTGTATATTCATCTTTTTATTTGAATATATCAGTTCTTTATATTTACATTGAGGATTTTATAGGTTTTTATTTTAAAGATTTTATTTATTTATTCATGAGAGACACAGAGAACGGCAGAGGGAGAATCAGGCTCCCTCTGGAGTGCCTGAAGCAGGACTTGATCCCAGGACCCCAGGGTCACAACATGAACCAAAGGCAGATGTTCAACCACTGAGCCACCCAGATGCCCTGAGCCTATTGTGGTTAATGATAGCTAGATCTTTTTTTTTTTTAATCCATTCTGATAATCTGCCTTTTTATTTGCAGTATTTAATCCATTTACATTTAATATAATCATTAGTAAAGTGGATTTCCATTTTTGTCAGTTTAGGATTTGATTTTATCTCACTTAGAAGCTACTAATAGCTTGCTCCTGTTTCATAGATGCTATCAGAAAGACAGGAGTAATCTGAGGCATGGAGAACTTAAGTAACTCACCAAAGCCTACACAGCTAAGTTGTTGGTAGACATGAAATTTAAACTTTGACCAACTAACTCCAGAACTTGGGCTTTTATTTAGTATATCATATGATGCCAAAAGATGTTCTTTATGTACATAAATGTAGTAAGATATTCATTCATCATAGTATCAATTGTATTTTAATTTTTAACTATCTACCCCTTTAGGCTGAGGACATTGGTATAGGATAATTTCTGTATTTTAGAACTTAATAACACTTCTAGCACATAATAATTGTTGAATAAATGTTTATTAAGCCATTATCTTCTGTGATTGTTACAAACACAGACACAGTTTCAGGTGTACAACATAGTGATTCAACAAGTTTATATGTTATGCTCTGCTCAAATATTAATTAATTTTTGTGAGAATAGTACCCTGTGTTGGAACAGGATTAAACATTAATCACAGATAATCCAGAGTAAACACACTATATGAGTGAGCTGTATCTCCTTTTGTTATTATATGTTTTGCTTCATTTTTATTTTTAAGTTATATATTATATATGTATATTATTTAAAAAGCCAAATATGAAAAACTGCAACTTACTCCTGCCTGCCACCTCTATTACCTATTCTTCAGACACACCTTCTGTTCTTTTACTTATATTCTTAATTTTACCTCCATATTTCTAAAGAGCATTTTTATGCTGCAACTTAATTTTTTATTTTATCTTCTTTTTTATTTTTCTTTTTTAAGTTTTTTTTTTTTTTTTTAATTCATGACAGATACACAGAGAGGGAGAGAGAGAGAGGTAGAGACACAGGCTGAGGGAGAAGCAGGCTCCACGCAGGGAGCCTGACGTGGGACTGGATCCGGCCCTGGTCTGAAGGCGGTGCTAAACTGCTGAGCCACCCGGGCTGACCATTTTTTAGTTTTCTAAAACTAAATTCACTGATTTCTTTTTAAGGAAAATGAGGATTTTGCCCTTCTTTTGCTTACTTTAGAAGGTGACCTGATTGGACTATTTTATGGAGTAGGAACTATCTAGGAGATCCAACTGCTTCTTAGACTTGAATATTTACTTAAGTCTGATTAATGGAGGAATCTGGTACCACCAATTCCTAACTTTTTATAACCTCAATAATATGAATCAGATTGCTTCTTGGCTTTCTCCACTACTTGCATAGGCTACTGCTTTCTCTGCTTTTGTAAGTCATCTTGTTCATTTTCTTCCCAAACTCTAAAATTTTGTGTTTTTTTTCCTCTTTCTCTTTGTTCTTTTTCAACTTTATATTAAGAAATTATCAAACCTGTAGAAAACTTGAAGTAACAGTATATGACCATCTATATACTTACCACCTAGATTCATCAGTTGTGTGTGTGTATGTATTCAAATGTTGGTAAAATATGTTAATGTGCATGTGCCTATGTCTATGTACTGTGGTGGAACTGAGTCATTTCAATAAGTTGTATATAACATGACAATATTATCTCTAAATATCTTAGCACAGATTTCCTAAAACTAAGTATATTTTTTCTCAGACACATTATCATTGTCACACCTAAGAAAATTAACAGCAATTAAAAATTCTTTATCATCAAAATATGTTAATTTACAGTATTTGCAAAGCAGGATTCCATGAGTGTTCAAGTGATGGATTTGTTGATTAATGTTTAATCTCTTCTAATCTAGGACATTCCCCAACTTTATTTTTTTTTTTTAATTATACTTTGAGGGGATCAGGCCAGGTATCTTTTAGGATGTCTCAAATATTAGAATTGTCTATTTGCTTTCTCAAGGAATTGTGTATTCCTTTAACATCTGTGTTTCTATAAGCTGATTTTGGTCTAAAGGCTTAATTATATTCAGGTTAAACATTTTTTTATATGAATACTTTATAAGTGATACTGTGGGCTTCATATTTATTTCTGGAGATATTAATGTCTGGTTGTTTCACTATTAATGATACCAAGTTTGCTCTACAGGCTAAAGAAGTGGTCATCTGAGATTATAAAGTTATGTTTCTCCCTTTACAATTAGAAGTAATTTGTGAGGTGATACTTTGCCTCTATTTGAATATTCTGATCCTTCAATTCTTTTGCTTAGTGGTGTTAGCATACAAAAAATATTCTTGCCTGAGTCAGTTGTTTTATTGGGTTTTGCAAAATAATATTTTTGTGAATTAATAATTTCTTTTACACTTAATAACTGACATTCTCCTTTAATCAGGAATTTTAACTATGATATCCACTAAAAAAGCAATGCAAATGCTTGATTCTTTGGTGAATTTTCAGACTAAGATGTTGGTGTAATGGTCATCTACAATGATAGCAAAGTTTTCCTCCCATCTCCCCCTCTTTTGAGTGTCACTATGTATTAATGGATTGATTAATGAAGTACATTTGACATACCATAGAATATATCCATTCTAAGTATAGAATGATTTTTAATAAATTTATTTATTTATTTATTTTAAAGATTTATTTATTCATTCAGAGAGAGCGAGAGAGAGGCAGAGACACAGGCAGAGGGAGAAGCAGGCTCCATGCAGGAAGCCCCATGTGGGACTCCATCCCAGGTCTCCAGGATCACACCCCGGGCTGCAGGCGGCGCTAAACCGCTGCGCCACCAGGGCTGCCCTTTTAATAAATTTACAAAGTTGTGATTATCACCACAATTCAGATTTAGAATCTCCATCACCTCAAAAAGTGTTTTGCTTAGAGTCAGTCTGTGGTTCCATCTCCAGTTTCAGGCAATGCAGTGTGCTTTGTTCTCTGTAGATTTACCTTTCCTGAAAATTTCATGTAAATGGAATCATTCACTGTGAAGTCTTTTGTGTTTGGTTTCCTTCATTTAACAATGATTTTTGCGGTTCATCATGTTGTAGCATGTTTCAATAGTTTGTTGCATTTTATTGCTGAACAGTACTGTTATATATATATACCTCAGTTTGTTTATCCTTCCCCCAATGCAAAGACATTTAGATTGTTTCCAGCGTGGGGCTGTCATGAATAGTGCTGCTGTGCACATTTATGTACAAGTTTTGCTTGGCCGTAAATTTTCATTTTTTTTTTTTTTGGACAGGTTCTTAGGAATGGAATTGCTGGGTGTTTTGAGAAATTTAATTTTTTAAGAAAACTGCCAAATTGTTTTAGAAAAGTAGCTGAACAAAAAAGAAAAAGTAGCTGCACTTTCCCAAAAACAGTGTTTGAGTATTTGTTCCCCTATCCTGTCAATACTTGATATTGTCAACCTTTTTTTGATTATAGCCACTTAAATGGATTTGTGGCAGTTTCTTGTGGTTTTAATTTGCATTTTTTTTAAATTTTTATTTACTTATGATAGTCAGAGAGAAAGAGAGAGAGGCAGAGACACAGGCAGAGGGAGAAGCAGGCTCCATGCACCGGGAGCCCGATGTGGGATTCGATCCCGGGTCTCCAGGATCGCGCCCTGGGCCAAAGGCAGGCGCCAAACCGCTGGGCCACCCAGGGATCCCTAATTTGCATTTTTCTAATGACTAAAGATGTTAAGAATCCTTTATGTACTTATTCGTCCTTTGTATATCTTCTTTGGTTAAAAGACTATTAAAATATTTTACTCACATTTAAATTGGATTCTTTAGCTTGTGTTGAATTGTAATAATTCTTTATATATTCTGTGTATAAGCTCTTTACCAGATTGTGATTTGCAAATATTTTCTTCTAGGCTTGTATGTCTTTCATTTTCCTTATGATTTCTTTGGAAGAGAAAAGTTTTTAACTTTAATAAAGACCAATTTATAAAAAAATTTTTTTGTTGATATCATATCTAAGAAATTTATACCTAACCCAGAATCACAAGATTTTTTTCCTATGTTTTATAAGTCTTATAGTTTGAGTTCTTATTTTTAGATTTGTGATCTGTTTGAGTTCATTTTTGTTTATGGTGTGAGGTAAGGATATAAATTTTTTTTCATAAAATTTTGGGGTTTTATTTATTCAGTGTTTTCTATTCAATTATAATCATCATTCTTTTTTTTTTTTATTTTTTTATTTATGATAGTCACAGAGAGAGAGAGAGGCAGAGACATAGGCAGAGGGAGAAGCAGGCTCCATGCACCGGGAGCCTGATGTGGGATTTGATCCCGGGTCTCCAGGATCGCGCCCTGGGCCAAAGGCAGGTGCCAAACCGCTGTGCCACCCAGGGATCCCTATAATCATCATTCTTAATGATGCTCAAATTTTCCAGTTACTCTGGCTTATGTGTCCTTTGGCTCTTTGCTGTTTCCTCTGCTGCATGTCTGAAATCAATCATGTCTCCATGGGGCTCTGTTTTGTTTTATTTTTAGGAGACTGACTACTATGGGTGCTCACTGCTACTGGGGTAACAATTGATTCTAAACCTTTTTAGCAGACAGAGCTACGTATATAACTTTTTAAAATCATAAGTTTATATTGACTTTTTTTCATTCAGATTTAACATTGTAAGTTTTGCTTTTATTTTATATTTCTCTAGTTTATTCTTTTTAAAAATTCCTTTTTTTTGTCATTTTAGTAATGTGTAAATGACTTTTTTCATTGTACCATCATTAAACAGAATCTGTGCCTTTTGTCTCCCTACATATTTTATTTTTATGGGTTGCTCAAACCCATGACCGTTTAACTAACAGAATCATATGGAATCATCAAAGAGTAAATAGGGGAAAAGCTCTAAAACCATGGTAGAGAAAGTTGCTCTCTAAAAATTATACAGAGTAAGAAAGGAAAGCTTTCTCAAACCAACCACTTCCCCACCTTTTTTCTCACTTTGCAGTTTGGAATGGTCAGCTGTCATTGTGGATGAAGCTCATAAAATCAAGAATCCAAAGGCTAGAGTAACAGAAGTTATGAAAGCTTTGAAATGTAATGTTCGCATTGGCCTCACTGGAACCATTCTTCAGAACAACATGAAAGAACTGTGGTGTGTTATGGATTGGTGAGTGAAAACAATTTTTCTTTTTGGGAAAATTTTTAATATTTCTTTAATTTAGTGTTACCTTGTTTGCTCATTAATCATTTCTTTAAAAAAAAAAATCATGTCTATTTATGGTCACGTTTGTCCCAAACACATTATACAGAGTAGAGAGTCTCATGTATACCTATCTTTATATAATACTCTTGGTCCCGAGGTAAATATCTGAATTATTTACCAATTCTGTCATTTTGTAGTTATACATTCTCTTTTCTTATATTTTGTTATTGTTATCATTCATGAACAAGTAACTTAGAATATTTCTTAGAAGGAAAAAAAGTCAATGTGTTTCTTTTTTGATAATTTAATAAAGCCATAATATTTTTGTTGTTGTTGCCTTTAAAGGGCTGTGCCAGGACTTTTAGGTAGTAGGATCCACTTCAAGAAGCAGTTTTCTGACCCAGTAGAACATGGTCAGAGACACACAGCAACAAAAAGAGAACTAGCTACTGGTCGAAAGGCCATGCAAAGGCTTGCAAAGATGATGTCTGGATGGTTTCTCAGGCGCACCAAGACTCTAATCAAGGATCAGTTGCCTAAGAAGGAAGACCGGGTGAGAACTGCATTTGTTTAAATTATTAATTTCTCATCATTTAAGTTATTGATTTTTCATCATGGTTTATTTTTTCTGAAAAAAATTCTTTTTAAGAGGAAATCTATTTCCTGTGGTACTTTATGAATATAGTTTTTTTTTTTTTTGTCTTTTACTAAGGGTGGAAAAAGTTGTTATATGCAAATTCAGAAAGCATTAATTGAGCCCAATCTAACAGGTTAGTTGACAGGTTTATTGTTAGTATACATAAAACTCATTTCTCTTATTTTATAATAAGAAGGCTTTTGGTGTAATTCTTTCTCAATGAAAAAAGAACTCTCTCCCTAATTTGTTTTCTGTTCATATTTTGCCCTTCATATATTGTGGACTATTTGTAGCCCCGTATATTCTTTGAGACCTTGTAACAGATACAAGACTATAGTGTTTAAAAGGTTTGTTTTATAGGTTTGTTTCTTTTAGAATGCTGTTTATTTTATACAACCAACTTAATTTGAAAAAGTTTAGAAAAGTTATAATTAAATTCCATTAATTGTTTAAGAAAACTTGAAGAGTAAATCTTAAGAGTTTTTTTTACGTGTAGTGTCCTCTCTTATAGTTTTTAATTCTGTGGTTCTTCTAACTCAGATAATGGAATAAAGGTTCTATAAATTACTATGAATTAAGCTTAATTAATATTGTCCCACGTATGGGTAATACTATCAAATATTCTCTAGTCTTAGAATATCCTGTTGATTATTACTTTTAAAAGACAGATTTGAAAGGCAAATATACTGATATACAAGTTGGGGAAATTGACTTTTTGATCTAAAGCAAATACTACTATTTAATTGAAATACTTAATGAATCCCCACTTTTAAAAATATTTTGTGCAATTTTATGTATATTATTTAGTTGTCTATCCAATAGGAGGAATAACTATAAATATATGAAGAGAGAATTGTGCATAGAGTGTTTAGAGCATCGGCTCTGAGATGAAATAATATAAGCTTGAATCCTGGCTCCCCTGCTTAGGAGTTTTGTGACTTTGAGCAATTTGCTGTCTTCCAAACCTTGGTTTCTTTATCAGTTAAATAGGAATGATGATAACAGTGCCTTACGTGGTTCCTCTGAAATGTGTGGCATGTAAAAAGTGTTTAGTAAATGTTACTATGTGTTTTAAGGTACTTAGGAATAAATTTAACCAAGGATGTGAAAGACCTATATACTGAAAACTATAAGAAACTGATGGAAGAAATTGAAGAAGATACAAATAAATGGAAGGATACCCATGTTCATAGATTGGAAGAATTAATATTGTTAAATACCCAAAGCTATCTATAGATTCAGTGCAATCCCTATCAAAATTCCTATGGCATTGTTTTATAGGAATAGAACAAACAATCCTAAAAGTCATATGGAACCACAGTAGATCCCAAAATAGCCAAAACAGTCTTGAGAAAGAAAAGCAAAGTTGGCAGGCATCACATTTCCTGATTTCACAGCATGTTCCTAGGCTATAGTAATCAAAACAGAATGGTACTGGCATAAAAACAGACACATAGATCGGAGGAGTAGAATAGAAATAAACCCATGCATATACATACAGCCAAATATAATATTTGACAAGGGAGCCAGGAATACTCAGTGAGTAAGAAAGGAAGATACTCTTTTCAGTAAGTGGTGGTGGGAAAATTGGATATTCATATGCAAAGAATGCAAATGAACTTCTGTCTTAACACCACTCACAAAAATTAACTGAAAATGGATTAAAGATTAATACACAAGACAAAATCTTATAAAACTCCTAGAAGAAAACAGGGAAAAAGCTCCTTGATGCTGGTCTTGGTGATGATTTTTTAAATATGATATCAAAACTATAAGCAACAAAAGCAAAAATAAAATATAAGACTATGGGGTGCCTGGGTGGTGCAGTTGATTAGGTGTCCAACTCTTGGTTTCAGCTTAGGTCGTGATCTTGGAATGGTAAGATCGAGCCCTGAGTTGGGCTTAACACTCAGTGTGGAGTCTGCTAAAGTTTCTCTTTCCCTCTCCTCTGCCCCTGTGATTCCTGCTCTCTTTCTCTCTCTCTTTCTAAAATAAATCCTTTTTTTAAAAAAAGTGAGACTACATCAAAGTAAAAAGTTTCTGTAACACCCAAAGAAACAATGAGCAGAATTTTTCTTTTTGCAATATTCTTTTGTAGTGATTTAAACATATAAACATTCATAAATAGATGGCTTTTCCCTTGTATTCACATTTTTGAACTCTTACTATGTGTTTTATGACCCTCGTTACATACAGCTACATCTAGAGGACTCTTACCAATTTCCAGTGCTACTAGAAAAATAAGGTAAATTACATCCTACGTATCTTGGTGGCATGATTATATCAAATTTTCTTATTTTGAATTTGGGCATAAAACAGAAACTTGTAGTTGCTTTTATGTGTATTAAGTTCTTAACCTTTACTAACCTTAGGAATTTATAGCAGGAAATCAAATACAAATTGTTACAAATAATAATATAAAGTTTTAAATTTTTTTCTAAGTTTTCAAGTAGTTCAGTATTATTCATACCATTGTTCTAAAGTTTCCCTTTTCTCTTTACCTATTTTTTTTTTTTTTTTAGAGATTTTATATATTTGAGAGAGACAGAGAGAGCAAGTAGGGGAGAGGAGCAGAAGACAGCAAGCTCCCCAGTGAGTAGGGAGTCCAATTCAGAACTCCATCCCAGGACCCTAGGGTCATGACCTGAGCCAAAGGCAGACGCCTGACTGACTGAGCCACCCAGGCACCCCTTCTTATCTAGTTTTTTATTTGACCTAAACTGTAGTCACTTATTTGCATGATGGGCTAATAGTATGAAATCCTGAAAAGACCCAGAATATATTTAGAAATATATAAGGAAACCACTTGTTTTTTCATATTTTAATTCCTTTCAATTGAAAAACAAACTCTATGAGATTTGAAAATAAAGTTATCATTTATAGGGTTTAGATTAGGGTGGGAGAAATTGTCATATTAATGTATCTAAAAGAAAAATAGTTTATAAGCCGTTTTCACTTTTATAGTCTATAAAATCTGATGTGCATTGTGATTATTACTGCTATAAAAAAGTACCAATAATTACTTAGTGTTTCATCTTGGCAGATGGTGTATTGTTCTCTGACAGATTTTCAGAAAGCTGTCTATCAAACAGTATTAGAAACCAAAGATGTGACTTTGATACTTCAGTCTTCTGAACCCTGTAGCTGCAGCAGTGGCCGGAAAAGGAGAAATTGTTGTTATAAGGCAAGCGTTTCTGTGTGGTATCTTCACAATCTTGCTTTTGATTACATAGTTCTTTATTCCAGTGTCGGAGGTAAGGAGCAGATAAAATAACTTTTCCTCAATTCCTTTAGAAGCCATAGTTAATAAAAAGGAATAGTCTTTGAAATTATTTTATAACATCAAATGGTAATAATAGCAAAATACAATATTCAAATATCTTTTTGATAAACTGGTCTTTCAGTAGCTCTCAGAAACTAGTAGCTTCAATTTGATATCCTCCCTCTCAACTTTTATTGGGAAGTAGCCTACTTCATCTTGAAATTTTATCTTATTTTCAGAAGTTTCGCCTTATCCCTTAATAGTAAACTTAGTCTTTGATAGCAGGCTTAAAATATTATTCTGGTAGAATGTTAATTAATTTAAATGCATATCAGTATAATAAAGTATTTTATTTTTTATTTAGAAACAAATACTAGTTTGTATTTTTTTAACCTTCTATCTGTATTTATTTCCTGCCCTTTTTTCTACCTCTCTATTTTATTATCAAGTTATCTATCAGATATCCATGTACATAGAGGGATCCTACATAAATATCCAGATTGATATTTATTCCGTCTCTTATCTATTTTGCTGTTTTTTTACATCACTTTTTCCTAATAGCACAGTTTCTTACGAAACCTTGTAATATAAATGAGAGGACAGTGAAATATAACCCTGCCCCCCATGCCATATTTCATTGCTAGGAACTTCTTACAGCAGTGTTTCTGACACTGTGTATCATGAGGGTAAATACCTTCTGGAATGAGGACTTTCTCCCCTCTTTTATTAAAAACATCACCAAAAGTATGATTCCACATTAAGTGATTCATGGATATTTTGTGTATTGTGCCAGTAGTGACCAAATGATAAACGTTAGTGTAAGTGATATCATTTATGAAGGCAGTAGTGACGTAGCCATGTTAGTCTCTTGCTCGTTTTCATTTTCTCTCTTTTTCTGTTTACAGACCAATTCACATGGTGAAACAGTGAAAACCTTGTATTTCAGTTACCTTGCAGTCCTTCAGAAGGTAGCTAACCATGTTGCACTACTGCAGTCTGCTAGCACCTCCAAACAACAGGTTTGAGTTGGCTTTTTAAATTTCTTTGTGATGCTATTTGGTATAAAGATATTATATTTGGTACTAAATGTCATAGCCAGATATCTTTATTTTTGTATGCAATTTAAGAGAAAACTGACTTGCTCATTTTTTAATTTAGGTATCAAAGAAGTATATGCTTTTAAGTTTTTTAAGAGAAAATTGAAGCCTAATTTAAAGTAATACCTCTTTTTTATATCTCTGATAATGTCGATATATTTGTTTTCCTAACATGTTTTGATGTAATTACTAGGTTAGATATTTGATGAGTCAGTCTTACTCCATTAATAATATATCTAATTGCATTTATCCAACCTACCTGATTAAAATGCAATCATTTACTTTGATCATTTCAATTGTAACTTATTCTAGAACACAATGTAAAATAAAAAAATCTTCTTTAGGCCTTTCTTATATAGTGATGTTATATATTTTTTTGTGTTATATTCTTCATGCTGTTCAAATATAAGTTTAAAATCTAATAAGCATTCAATACTGTTTTTTTGATAGTATTGTCTTTGGGAAGTATTTGATTCCTTGCTTTAGAAATTATAAAAGAAAAATTATAAAATTATCATTATCTCAGAACTCATCAAAGCAATATATGATTAGCATGATCACTTTAAGGTTTTCTGAATTATTAGTCTGACTGATAATATCTTCAAAGTAATATATTCCCTCTAAATAGAATTTTTTTCAAAATCAATCTTTGTATAGATATAAATATATTAAGTTGAAATTTCTTTTCTTCTATCTTTTCCTCCTAAGGAAACACTTATCAAAAGGATATGTGATCAGGTATTTTCCAAGTTCCCAGATTTTGTGCAGAAAAGCAAAGATGCATCCTTTGAAACCCTTTCTGACCCAAAATACAGTGGGAAAATGAAGGTAAATGCTCTTTCAGGCTGCATATACACGAGGATGATATACAAAATATTTATCAGTGGTATGACAGGGACACCAACTAGTCAGAACAGGTACCCAATCATTCAGAAGAGACTGTGGCCAAAGACAAGTGATAGAGCATTTACTAGCTTACAGTGAACCATGCATGTAGCTGTTTCTAAATTAGGTGGTTACATCAAATATACTTCAGACTTTCTTTATTGATGTATTAGATGTATGCCCTCTTTAAAATGTATGCTGTTGCCATATGTATAATTGCTTATCTTCAAATGTTTAAGGAGATATCTACCAGAGATAAAAATGCTAATGCCAGACACAAGGATGAGGATAGGTAATAGCTCAAAATTAGAGAAAGAAACATCTTAAAGAGTTCAAGGTGGACAAGATGTCTAGACTGAATTTTCTAACCTCTTATTTTTACTTACCAATCTATATTGGAAGCTTGCTAAAAGTCTCATTTGTGGCAAGGGAACATTTGTTCTGCACCAGGAAACTGACCTGTAGGTGCTGCTCTTGGTGATATATTATGAAAGGAGGGTGGGAAAAGTAAGGCTAGGTTCTCCAGTCAGGACCCAGGGCTTGAGGCATTACCTGTGACAGCTGCATGACTTGCTGATCGCTTACAGCCTTTTTGCAGCCACTTTGTTTATTTAATCATTTAGTAACTATCAAGAATCTTTATTTATGGGTGCAGAGACTATTACTGAACAATTCTCAACATTGTGGTTTAATTTTTAAAAAGTAAGTTATTTCTTTTGGCTAAATAAATAAGAATTAATTCAAAGTAGTCTGGTGGTGATTTTCTTAAAATCCTGGAAATATTTTTAGCAATTAATCAATATAAACTCATCATAGTTTAGTTTGCTTGGACCTCCAAATTTAATGAAATAAAATTAAAGCCAAGTAAAATACTTTAAAAACTTGTCTAGGTATTTTTTTAATTGAGATATAATTTACATATAACATTATATTAGTTTAGGTCTAATCTATCAAATTAGATTTGCTATGTATGTATATGGCAAAATGATTGTCACAATAAGTTTAATTAATACTATTACCATACATAGTCTTTTTTATTGTGATGAGAGCTTTTAAGATGTACTCTCTTAGCAACATTCAAATATGTAATATAGTAGTATTAATTATGGTCACCATGCTATACATTAAATCCCCAGGATTTATCTTATAACTGGAAGTTTGTACCTTTTGACCACCTTCACTCATTCTGTCTGCCTCTACCCCCTGTTGCTGGCAACCACCAATCTGTTCTCTATACTTAAAAATACAACCTTTTTTTTTTCGATTCCACAGCTAAGTGAGATCATTTTCTTTAACTCTTTCTCTTATTTAATATAGGATAATGACCTTCATGTTGTTGCAAATGCCAGGATTTCTTTCCTTTTTATGGCTCAGTATTCCATTAAATATGTATATACCATACTTTCTTTATCCACTTATCTGTCAACAGACACCTAACTTTTTCCATGTATTGGCTATCATAAATAATGCTGCAGTAAACATGGGGGTGCAGATGTCATATGGGCATCTATTCCATTCCTTTTGCATGAGGCTGTCTTGTTTTTCCAGCACCATTTAGTGAAAAGACTATCTTTTCCCCATTGTATATTCTTACCTCCTTTGTCATAAATTAATTGACTATATAAGTGTGGGTTTATTTCTGGGCTATTTTGTTTCATTGGTCTGTATGTCTGTTTTTATGTCAATACCATACTGTTTTGATTATAGTACCTTTGTAATGTAGTTTGAAATCAGGAAGTGTGATGCCTCTAGCTTTTTGGCTCTTTCTCAAGATTGCTTTGACTCTTCGGGGGTTTTTTTTTTGTGTTTCCATGCAAACTTTAGTATTGTTTGTTCTATTTCTGTGGAAAGTGCCATTGGAATTTTGATGGGGATTGCGTTGAATCTATAAGTGTTTTGAGCAGTATGGACATTTTACCATTAGTTCCCAACCTATGAATGCTGAATATCTTTTTATTTGTTATCTACTTCAGTGTGTTTTAGTTCTTAGTATACAGGTCTTTTACCTCCTTGGTTAAATGTATTTTTAGTTACTTAATTCTTTTTGATATAATTATAAATGCAATTATTTTCTTAGTTTCTTATATTTTTCCTTATTAGTGTACAGAAATGCAATGAATTCTTGTAGTTTTATTTTGTATCATATAACTTTATTAAATTTATTAGTTCTAACAGTTTTTGGGTGAGTCTTTAGGGCTTTCTATATGTATAAGATCATGCCGTGTGTAAGTAGAGACAGTTTTTCTTCTTCCTTTCCCATTTGGATGCTTTTTTTTTTTTTAATTTGTATTTATTTATGATAGTCACACACACACAGAGAGAGAGAGAGGCAGAGACACAGGCAGGGGGAGAAGCAGGCTCCATGCACCGGGAGCCCGACATGGGATTCGATCCCGGGTCTCCAGGATCGCGCCCCGGGCCAAAGGCAGGCGCCAAACCGCTGCACCACCCAGGGTTCCCTTTGGATGCTTTTTGTTTCTTTTTCTTGCCGAATTGCTCTGGCTAGGATTTCTAGTATTGTGTTGAATAACAGTGGCAGGAGTAGGCATCCTTGTCTTATTCCTGATCTTGAAGGAAAAGCTTTCAGTTTTTACCAGTGGGTGTTATGTTAGCTGTAGGCTTCTCATATATGGCTTTTATTATGTTGATATATGCTTTCTCTATATCCACTTTGTTGAGAGTTGTGTATTTTTAAAATAAGTAAGTCTGGGGGCACCTCGGTGGCTCACTGGTTGAGTATCTACTTTTGGCTCAGGTCATGATCCCAGGGTCTTGGGATCAAGCCCTGCATCAGGCTCCCACCGGGGAGTCTGCTTCTCTCTCTGCCTATGTCTCTGTCTCTCTCTCCATGTCTCTCATGAACAAATAAATAAAGTGTACTGTTGGAGTTATATATCTAGGAATAATAATGTCTGCTTAAAATAATTATTACATTTATTTTTTGTCATGATTTTTAGACGGGAAGGAGCAAGCATGAATTATTTCTGGGGGCTGGATAGTTGTCTTTATATGTGAAAGAAGCCTATAATTTATTTGTTTTGCAAGAGAACACCAACAAGATAGAGACTGATAGTCTAGGGTTCTGTTTTTTAGATTGTGTTGATCATTTGATTATCAACATCATCTGGATTTAGTGATCCAAAATGTATAGGCTTATAATCTATTGTCTGTGGGGAGAGTTAGGAAATCCAGGTTGCGTGTACCTTTTGAATTCAGGTGATGAAAGATACTAGTTCTTCTCTTATTATAGGTCAGCCTGCAGCTGCGATTTATTTGTTGATGTTATGCTTACTGTACCCCCCCCATACCCTCCGAACTATACTTCATGAACACCAGCTCCTTCTCTTATATATGAAGGTCTTTTTTGATCTCAGCTACTATTCAAGTGGATTGTTACAAGTTGTACCTATTCCCCTGATAAGAGAAAATGAGGATTTTCTCTTCCCTTGGGAAATACCACAGAGCCACTTACTGTTGGGGGCGGGGGTGGGGAGTAGAAAAAGACTTAGGATACCCAGTTTAGTGCTGTTGGGATCAGATATGGGTGATGTTCATCTCCAGGCCTAACAAATTCAAGAAAAGTTAGGCCCAAGATTTCTTACCTGTGAACTCCTTGGTATTTACTCAAATAAATTAAAAATTTATGTTCACACAATAGCCTGTACACAGATATTTATAATAATTTTACCTATAATTGCCAAAACTTGGAGGCAACTAAGATATCCTTCAGTAGGTGAATAGATAAATTACGATACATTCAGATAATAGAATATTATTCAATAATAAGAAATGAGCTATCAAGCTACAAAAAGACATGAAGCAGCTTACATGCATATTGCTAAGTGAAAAAAGCCAATCTAAACGGCTACATACTGAGACGCCTGGTTGTGATACTGGGGTCCTGGGATCGAGTCCTGTGTCAGACTCCACTCAGGGAGCCTGCTTCTCCTTCTGCATGTGTCTCTGCCTCTGTGTCTCTCATGAATAAATAAATAAAATCATAAATAAATGGCTACATACTATATAATTCCAGCTATATGACATTCTGGAAAATGTAAAACTCTAGAGAAAGTAAAATGATAAGTGATTGCCAGGAGTTTACAAGGAGGGATGGATGCATAGATGGGGCATGGGTCGTTTTTGTGGTAGTGAAACTATTCTGTGTAGTACTGTAATGGTGAGTACATGTCATTTTATATGTGTCAAAACCCCTGGAGTTACAACACATGAGAGAACCCTAATGTAAATAGACTTCAGTTAATAATAGTATTAGTTAATACTATTATTGAATTAGTATAGTGAAGTTAATAATTTAATAATAATAAGGTATTATTAATAATTATTTACTCACCCATCAGTTGTTACAAATGTACTACCCTAATGCAAGATGTTAATAATAGGGAAAACTATGTACAGGGGAGGGGCAGAAGTAAAAGATGGGGGAGAGGAGGTCTGTGGGAGTTCTCTGGATATTCTGTTCCGTTTTTCTGTAAATCTATAATTGCTCCAAAAAATAAAATCTTTTAATTTTAAAAAGTTAATGTATCATGTGAAATTCAAATGCACATACTTTATAGAGTCCGTTATTTTATTAAAAAATAAAGCAAAGCTTACTTTATAAGTTCTACAGGTATTAAAATTATGTTCACCTAATCTGTAACATGTTTATTCACCATTTGATTGGTTATCTGAGTAGCTTTCTTTTTAACTCCATGGCTTTTACTGAGGGATTAGACGATGGGGGTCAGAGTTATTAGCATAGTGTCTTCTCTTAGTCAACTATTAAAATTAAATATTAATATTACTATTAATTAAAATTAAAAATTAATATTAAAAGAGTCTTACATTTCTTATATTGAGTATAATTTCTTTTAAGATTTATTTATTTATTTATTTATTTGAGAGAGAGGTAGAAAGAAAGAGCAAGCAAGTATACAGAGGGAGATGGAGAAGCAGACTTACCTCTGAGCAGGGAGTCCAATGCGGGGCTCCATCCCAAGGCCCTGGGATCATGACCTGAGCCAAAGGCAGATGCTTAACTGACTGAGCCATTCAGGTGCCCCTGAGTATAACTTTTTCTTTAAGTTTATATGCTTATCAGTTAATAAACAAAATTGCTTAAGTGTTTATTGCATAATTCAGAAAAACTTTAGGCTGAGTACAGAAAATTCTTTTTCTTTCCTTTGCGGATTACTTTTCCACAGTGTTCTGGAACTGTCATTACCAGATGTGGAAATTCCTGTTTTAAAAATAACAGTATTACTGTTATACACAGGGTTTGGATTATTTGCTTCCTCCCTAACAGACCTTGGATGGGGGCAAATTATTGACATTTTGAGGTCAAAATCAAGTCTGGAAGTCAGTGCTGACTGTAAATAGAGAAGCAGAAGGGGATAAAATGAGAAGAGGTGTATATGTGACTGATTATTTTAAGAAAATAAATATCAAGACTTTTAGAACCTAGATGTAATTAAACATATTTCATTACATCTATCTAGAAAAAACTTAAATACTTCCTAAAAGGAATGCTGTTCTGTAATTTAGTTTCTGAACATATTGTAGGTATAAAGAAAGTGTGTTTTGGAAATTAAATTAATTCATTTAAATGCATTCCATAATCTAAAATGCTTCCTTTTTATTAAAACCAGATGAGATGAAACAAAAGTCTTTGGGAACCTTACCTCATTATTGACAATATGATGATGAATAACATCTCATGTAATATCTAATACTTTATTTCTCTAAGTTGGGAAAAAAGAAGGGAATTAGGAGAGGACTGAGGTTATGTTGTATAAAAATTATTTTTAAGAAATTCTCAAGTGATGTTTATATGTATAAAGTGTGCTTTTAGTTGGAACTGGTTCACTAGTTGATTTCTGTGGTTCATTTCCAGGTCCTTCAGCAGCTTTTAAATCATTGCAGGAAAAACAAAGATAAAATACTACTTTTCTCCTTTTCCACCAAGGTGAGTTTCTTCTGAAGTATATTCTTGATTGACCCAGCCCTGACTCCTGAGGCATAAAGCCTAAGAGACACAGTGTGTCCAGCCACATTTTCTAACTTAAACATAATGTAGAAAATGGTAGGGAGTTAAGCAGCTTTTTTAAAACAGATGATTAAATCTCAGTGATATCAGAGTTACTGCCAAATAGCAAACTCAAAGATAGATTTTTTATTATCTATTGATGTTTTTGTTATAATTAAAATGTTCTTTAAGACATTTAAGAGATTAAAAAAAAAGACATTTAAGAGATTCTAAAATCTGGAAAATAGTACAAATAATGAAATTCACTTACCTAAATTGGCCAGTACTTTTCTTTTTATTTGGTTTTAATTTAAAAAAAATAAAGTTTGATTTTTTTTTTTCTCCTAAAAGATTTTTTTTTTTCAGGGCAAACATTGGTGAACTTTAAATTTAAAGTCAGTTTCAAGATAATGAGTAAGAAATATATGAGCCAGAAGCCAGGAAAATATCTGTTGCTCTTGCAATTGTAAAAAGAACTTGTGAGCAGCAATTATTAATACTTAGTAAATCTTATCTCTACAATGATATGAAACTTATTAAACCATAAATTACTCTTTGCCCATCTCCATACCTTCTCCCTAGTTGCTTGATGTTCTGCAGCAGTACTGTATGGCGGCTGGGTTTGATTACCGTCGACTTGATGGAAGCACCAAATCAGAGGAAAGAATCAAGATTGTAAAAGAGTTCAACAGTACACAAGATGTTAACATTTGCCTTGTCTCCACAATGTAAGAAAATAAAATTTGATAACTTGATTTTTATCTAATTGCTTTTAAGATTTGGGGCAATTTAAAAATTATTACTGGATTAATTTTCAGTGGTTGTGGTTATATTGCTTTGTTTTATTTGGCTTTAAGGAGAAGCAGCAAAAATGCTATTAATTATAACTAAAGTAACAATATGTTGAGTTTTACCTAACCTTTTCTCTCGATTTCCTTATCATCACTGAATTCTCCTTATATGTCTGGGCTTATAAAGATAACAATAAAAAAAAATGGATGTTTCCTCCCAATAATTTTCTGTAATAGTGTTTTTATTCATGTCTTGTGGTCAGAACAGTCAGACTTAATTGAATAATTAATAACTTTATTAATCAGATAACTGAGGATCATTTTTAACAGTGGTTTTTAAACTGTGCTCAAGGAGCCCTAAAAACCCACTGGGCTCAGTGGGCCAGGTCCTTCCTCCCTCTGTCTACCTCGTTTCAACCATAGCAGCTATACATTAACAGGTTTTGTAAAAGTTAAGTTAGTTCTAACATCTATCTATGAATCTCTCATTAAATCTTTTTTTTTTTTAAGATTTTATTATTTATTTATTCATGAGTGACACAGAGAGAGAAAGAGAGGCAGAGAAATAGGCAGAGGGAGGAGCAGGCTCCATGCAGGGATCCTGACGTGGGACTCGATCCTGGGATCCAGGACCACGCCCTGGGCCGAAGGCAGGCGCTAAACCGCTGAGCCATCCAGGGATCCCCTCATTAAACCTTTTAAAGAATATAAATACTTTAGAGAAAGATTTAAGCCAATATAAACACCTAAGATGATTAATCCCTTTTTGGGGGTAACAAATCCTTACTTTGACATTAATGTAATAAGTATTTTATAGATTTGCCACCACTATCTTTTAAAAAGCATTTCAAAAGACTTTAAAAACAAATATATGTAAAATGTGAAAAGTCAACACAATAATTACTTAAAATGAGGAATAAAATTATATTTTTAGGGATATTCTAAAATGGTAGGAAAACAATATTCCATTCCTATTTGTGTTTTAGTCATCTTACTTTTATGATGTTAATGCAGTATTGTGTTGATTTGGTTGCAGAAACCTGGCACAATTGAATTAGAGGGCAACAATTATGTTTTGCTATTTTAATATGCCCTTTTCTGTTTCCTCCAGGGCTGGTGGAGTAGGCCTTAATTTTGTTGGTGCCAATGTTGTTGTATTATTTGATCCTACTTGGAATCCAGCCAACGATCTTCAAGCAATTGATAGGTATAATATTGACAAAATTTAAAGTGACCTACCAGTATTTTTTCTAAAAATACTCCTTTCTGATTCTTTTAGGTTGCTATAATATTACTGTGATTAGATGATGAAAAAAATAGTATTTGATAACCTTGAATCTGGATCCAAATGGCAGGCTGATAATAGCAAATTATTTTCTGTCCATCTCAAAATCCCATTATTATGACAGGACTGGTTTAAGAAGAAGGAACCTATAATAATACTGCAGGAAAATGGGAAATGTCTCTATTAGTAGACCAGAAGTTTTGAGAAACTCCTGCAAGATAGAAGGCAAACAGAATCTCTATGATCAAGAAACCAGCAGAGAAAAGCTGTAGCCCAAAGGAGAGTGCAGAGAAATTTCAAACCTAGGGTCAGCAACTACAAGATGTAGAAATAGAGCAGACTGAACTCTTGTGGGAAATTAATTAATGTGCTAATTCTAAAACCATTTCCTCTCCCACACTCCATATATAAAAGGGGATTGGCCTTCAACAGATGCCGCTTGATCAAAGCTGAAATAATTATTTAATAAATTTTATAAATAGTGGGTAATCAGACTGACAGAAGGTTTTCAGTGGACATTAGAACCAGATCAAAAAGCAGAGCTGAACCTAAAGTAATCCCAGATCTCCATGGAACACAAAAAGGGGGAAATGATTAAATAGACCTGTGTACCTGCATGGAAATCCAGACCAGCTTTCCTGTGCAGTCCACCCAGTTCCTCATTTGTAATTATGAATGGAAAATTAAGAATCATGAGATAATCTAATAAAACCAACAGTATGAAAGAAAAGGGCCAAGACAAAAAACAGACCCTGAGGAAATAAAATAAGAATAGGACACATGAAAAAAAGTGCTAGAAAAGAAAAATAGAAATTTTTAGAAACTAGGGATGCCTGGGTGGCTCAGTCGATTAAGCATCTGCTTTTGGCTCAGGTCATGATCCCAGGGTCCTGGGATCGAGTGCCACATCAGGCTCCCTGCTCAGTGAGGAGTCTGTTTCTCCCTTCCCCTCTAACCTTACCCACTGCTTGTGCTCTTGCGTGCTCTCTCTCTCTCTCTCTCTCTCTCTCTGGCTCTCAAATAAATAACTCCTTTTTAAAAAGAAGAAATTCTTAGAAATTAAAACTATTGCCAAATCAGTACAAGTTCTGATCAATAAAGTGGAGAATACTGAAAGTGGAAATTGATGTGGAAAATAAAAGGAATAAATATTTTAGAATACAATGAGAGGACAGGAGAGAAAACATAAAGAGACATGTCTTGGTTATATTTCTAAGTTCCAGAGATAAAGGGGCTAAACAAATACCAGTAAACAAATACCAGATTGAGAAAGAGGGAGGGAAAATGATTTATAAAATAAAGATAAAAAGAACAGAACAGGTTACCAACAAATAAATGAGAATCACACTCATTTCAGCAGAACAGACTTTGAAGAATAGATTTTTCATCTACATTATAGAATTCTGAAAGACAAAGTTGTCAAAGTGACAAAATTCATATGATGGTATCTGTAAGAAAATAATTTTGACTTGTAGTTGTAATCAGTGGCTAAAATATGAATATGTGAGGGAAAATAAAGCAACTGTTGACATCTGGGAACTGAGAAATTTATATTTGAGTCTAGATAAATGTAGAGTTGAGAGGCTTAATGCAGTTATAAAAGAATTCTCAAAAATATGAAGGGATGGTATAAGAAAATTAGTAAGAATTAAAAACTAAAATTCCATGTAATTCCAATAAAACATTGGGAAGTGGGGATAATTATGTTGAAATTTATATTTCATCAAAAAAGAATTAGGATATCCTGGTCAGTTTTCAAATTTATGCCAAAAACTGTTTTTAAATTTTAGCAAAAAATTTTAAGGGCAACAACTAAGAGAGTTGGGCATAATAATCACTTAGTTCACTTTTTTAAAATACAGATGTTCAAGCTCCATCCCCTTGGTATTCTAATCCTGTAGGTCTAGGGTGGGGATCTATAGTCTCCATTTTAAGAAATTCCTCAGGCTGTACATCAAAGAACAATGGCAACAGAGTAAAAGACAACTCACAGAATAGGAAAAAATCTTTGCAAATTACACTTGTGATAAGGACTTAATATTTAGAATCTATAAAGAACTTCTAAAACTTGGTAACAACAACCAGAAAATATAAACCTAGTTTAAAAAGGGGAAATGGACTTGAATAGACATATCTTCAAAAAGTTATACAAATGGCCAGTAAGCACATGACAAGGTAATATCACCAATCATTAGGGAAATGGAAATCAAAAGTACAGTGAGATACACTTCATACTCAGGATAATTTTTTTTTAATTTGAGAGATCTGTGTGTGTAAGCTGGGGTAGGCAGGGGCAGAGGGCAGAGACAATCATAAGCAGGCTGCATGCCCAGCACAGAGCCTGAGGTGGAGTTCAATCTCATGACCATTAAGATACCTATTACCAAAAATAGACAACAAGTCTTGATGATGATATGAAAAAATTGGAGTCCTGTGCACTGCTGCTGGGAAGATAAAGTGATGCAGCTGTTGAAAACAGTATGATGGTTTTTAAAGCACTAAGTATAGAATTACCACATATACCCAAAGAATGGAAAGCAGTAATTCAGATATTTGTACAACCATGTGTATAGCAATATTATTCACTGTAGCCAAAATGTAGAAATAACCAAAATGTTCACTTATGGATGAATGGGTAAACAAAATGTATTCTGTACATAAAATGGAATATTCAGCCTTATAAAGGAATGAAATTCTTTGTTTTATTGAGATATAATTGACATAGAGCACTATATAAATTTAAGGTATACAGCATATGACTTGACTTACATATATTATGCATTGATTACCACAGTAAGTTTAGTTAACATCTGTCATCTCATATGTAGCTTCTCAAAACGAAAAGGAATTCTGATACATGGCTACAACATGGATAAATCTTTAAGACATGTTAATTGAAATAGATATATAAGGACAAATATTGTGTATTTCCACTTATATAAGGTGTTTAGAATAGTCATTAGAGACAAATTAGAATGGTAATTACCAGGAGCCGGAGGAAGGAGGGAATAGAGAGTTACTATGTAATGGATAAAAGTTTTAGTCTGGAATGACAAAGTTCTAGAAGTGGATGATGGTAATGGTTGCAAAACAATGTGAATTTTCTTAATGCCACTGAACTATATGTTTAAAAATAGCTAAAATGAGGAACATCTGGGTGGCTCAGTCAGTTAAGCCATCTGACTCTTAGTTTCAGCTCAGGTCATGATCTCAGGCTTGTGAGATTGAGCCCTGTGTCAGGCTCTGCACTGGACATGAAGCCTGCTTAAGATTCTTTCTCTCTTCCTTGCCCTCTGCCCCTCCCCACTCTACTCGCATGTTCACTTTCTCTCAAAAAAAAAAAAAAAGGTTAAAATGGTAAATCTTATGTATATTTTACCATAATTTTAAAAAACCACCCATGGGCTTCTGGGTGGCTCAGTTGGTTAACCATCCAACTCCTGATTTCAGCTCAGATCTTTGGGTGGTGGGATCAAGCTCCAAGGTCCCCCCAGAGTCTGCTTTTCTTTCTCCCTTTGCTCCTTTCCCCACTTGTTTTCATGCACTCTGTCTCTCAAATAAGTAAATAAATTAAAAAAGAAACACACAAGGTGATCGTTACACAGTTGATCCCTAAATCCACTTTGAGAAACATTAGAAATTAGGTACAAAACATCCAAACAGAACTTCTGAAATAAATTTTTTTAAAAATCACTGAGAAAAATGTGATTATTTCAGTGAATGATTGGAAATATGAGTATGCAGTGAAAGGTGGAAGAAACTAAGAAAGCATGGCAAATACAAAACATAAACTGTGAAAAATAAGGCCACACATAAATATGAATGGGATAAAACCTCCTTATTTAAATAAAAAAAGAAGATGAAAATGGAAAGTTAGATTCAGGTTTATGCTTATTACTATATATATAAGATTTGAAAATACAAAGAAAGTTAAAATAAAAATATACTGAAAATCTAATTAGGAAGATGGTAACAAAAAGTAAGAGTGGCAGTATTAATATCAAGCCAAATATTAAGAGACTTGAAGGCAAGATACATTAAAACAAAATGGGGGAACAATCTGTGAGGAAAGTATAATAGTCACTACATAACAAAGCCTAAACTCTTTTATGATACGAAATGGATAAATCCACAGTCATGATGGGGAACGTAATATCTCTCTCTCAAAAATTAATAGTTCAACTAGGCAAAACAAGAAAATACATAAATTATTTGAATAAATTATTTAGCCTTTGACTTAATAATGTATATAACCACATAACAACTTCAAATACCCAATCTCAAACATTTTAGAGCATACTTTTAAATGACTATATATTTTAATAGAAATCACGAGGACTAGATTACATGGTTCTAATACAAAAGAAAAGACCCTAGAAAAACAACAATGAACATGTAGCTAATAAAAATCTAGTCATATGGATGTTTTAAAAAATATTTTTAAATAACACTTGTATTGAAGAAATCAAGGAGTGATACCAGCAAGATGGCAGACTAGGAAGCTCTAGGTACATGTTTTCCCATGAGTGAATTAAAAAAAACTAGAGACTGATTAAAATAACTTTATAGGAGCTGTTTAAGGTCAGTCAAAAATCTACAGAAATCAAGCAAATTCCTAATCAAGAAAAAGCTATATTCAAAACTGGGAAATTTCATGGCATCTTTACTGATTCTTGCCTCACCCCTATTCATTGGTGCAGCACAACCAGGAGGAAGCAACCATTCCCAGTTCCCTCCCTCCTGGGTTGGAAAGAGCAGCATGGAACTCCTTTGCAACTTTCTAACCTATCTGTGAGCTGCTAAGGGAATGGTTTGTATTTCACCTGACAGTGCTTAGATGAGGAATGGTGCATAGCTTGGACCTCAAACGGGTAGAAGTTGTTGAAAGCAGTGATAGGCCCCATGATGCATGAAAGCTACAGTGGGACAGAGAAGACACTGAAATGAGACTCTTTGGGAAATTGAAATATTTAAAAGCACATACACTCATAACCCAGCTGAGACACATAACCAGAAATGACCAAAATAGATTTTAATCTTTACTCTGGGCTGTTTGTTCCCAAGACTCAAGATATACCCTCCTAATTAATGAATGTTTTCCATACTGGTTTGCAAAGCCTTGAAGTGGCTATTTTATTAAATGGCCTTTTTTTTTTTTTTAACAGACAAACACAGGGCATTTAAAGAAAGAGGAAAACATAGTTCAGAGGAACAAAATAAATAAATCTCCAGAAAGCATCCCTGAATAAACACAGGCATAGTACTGACTAGAGAAAGAGTTTAAAATAACTGTCCTAACTCTAAGAGCTAGATAGAAACTATGGACAAAGACCTAAAGGAAATCAGGAAAACAATATATAAACAAAATTAGAATATCAGCAAAGAGATAGAAATTATTTAAAAAAAAAAGAACAAAGCAGAATCTTTGAACCTAAAGGATACAATAACTAAATTATTAAAAAAAAAATCACTAGAAAGACTCATCATACTCAAACAGGGAGAACTGAGGATCAGCAAACTTGAAGACTGATCTAAGGAGCAAAAAAAAGAAAAACTAAAGCAAAACAAAACCCCAAAGAACAACAAGAGCAACAACAACAAAAACCAAACCTAAACAAACGAACAAAGGAAAATGAACATAGCTTAAGGACTTTATGGGACATATTAAATAAAATGATAAACACATTATAGGAATCCAAAAGAAGAGAGAGAAAAGGACAAAGCTATTTGAAAAAATCATGACTGAAGTAAAAATGTTCAAATTTGGGGAAAGACATGAGTATATAAATACAAGAAGGTTAACAACCTCCAGGTAGAATAAACCCAAAGAGACTCACAATGAGACTTATCAAGTTGTAGGAGAAAATGTAATGGAGAAAATGAGAGGCAAAATAGCAATGAGATACAAAAAAAAAAATAGCAAAAGTAAGTCTTTCCCTATTGTTAATTGCTTTCAATGTAAATGGGTTCAACTCTCCAAAAGATATAGATTGGCAGAATAGATTTAAAAAACATCAACACACCATATGCCAACTGTATGCTGTGTAGAAGACATTCACTTTGAGTTTAAGGTGAATATTAGTTGCACAGTTTGAAAGTGAAAGTTATGAAAGACAAAGGATAGTATACAATGGTAATTCTTAATTTAATTCACCCAGAAGCTATAACACTTATAAATGCAGCAAAGAAGCTCTAAAATATTAAAGCAAATATTGACAGAATTGAAAGTGGAAATAGCTCTGTAATAGTAGTTAGACTATTCCTAATAGTAATAGACTTTAGTACTCCATTTGCAATAATAGATAGAATGTCCAGTCAGAAGATCAGTAAGGAAAGAAAAACTTGACAACCCTGTAGATACCTTGGGCCTATCAAACACATACAGAACTCTCCTTCCAACAACAGCATAATACATGTTTCTCAAGCGCACATGGAACATTCTCTATGATACTATTTGTGTGGAATATCTTTATCCATCCTTTTACTTTTTTCCATGATAGGTCATATGTTAGGTTATAAAACATGTTAATAAATTTTAAAAGATTGAAATCTTAAGTTTTTTTCCCTGACACAGTAGAATGAAATTAGAAATCAACAGCAGAAGAAACTCTGGAAAATCCACAGATACATTGAAACTAAATGGGGCACCTAGGTGGTTCAGTTGGTAAGGCATCTGATTCTTGATATCAGCTGACATGATCTTGGTATTGTGAAAGAAAGCCCCAAGTTGGGCTCCACACTGGGCATGGATCCTGCTTGGGATTCTCTCTCTCTCTCCCCTTCTTCTGCCAGCCCCACCCAGCCCCACTTGTGTGCTCTCTCTCTTTTAAAAAAAAAAAAAATATATATATATATATATATAATATAATATTATTATAATATAATAATAAATAATATAATATATATTTTTATATATATTTTATATAATTATATTTATATTATATATTTTATATTAAATATATTTTATTATATATATGTGTGTGGGGTGCCTGGGTGGTTCAGTCTACTAAGTGTCCAAATCTTGATTTCAGCTCAGATCATGATCTCAGCTTCGTGAGATAGAGCTCCACATTTAGCCCCATGAAGCTCTGTGCTCAGCAGAGTGCTGGAGGTTCTCCCTCTCTCCCTGCCCTTCCCCAACTCACACTCACTCTCTCTCTACAATAAACAAATCTTTAAAAAAGTAAACAATACACTTTTAAACAACCAATGAGTTATAAAAGAAATCACAAGAGAAATTGGAAAATATCTTGGGAAAAATGAAAATGAAAACTCAATGTATTAAAACTTATGCAATGCAGTGAAAAGAGTGCAAAGAGTTTATAGTGGTAAAGACTTTAAAAAAGAATAAAGGTCTGAAATCAGCATTGTAGGCTTATACCTTAAGGAACTGGAAGAAAAACTAAATCTAGCTAGCAAAAGAAAGTTAAAAGATTAGAACAGAGATAAGTGAAATAGACTAAAGAAACAATTGAAAATAGATCAACAAAACCAAGAGTTTTTTTCCAAAGTGATCAGCAAAACTGACAAACTTTTAGGCAGATTGACTAAGAAAAAAAAAGACTGAAATAACTAAAATCTGAAGGAAAAGGAGAACATTATTATTGATTTTACAGAAATAGAAAGGATTGTAAGACAGTATTATAAACAGTTGTACACCAGCAAATTGGATGACCTAGATGAAATGGATGAATTCCAAGAAACATACAACTTTCCAAGACTGAATAAGGAAGAAATAGAAAATTTAAGTAGAACTTACAACTAATGAAAAGATCAAATCAATCATCAAAAATGCCAACAAACAAAACCCCAGGTCCAGATGGCTTCATTGATGGATTCTACCAGGCATTTTAAAGAATTAATACCAATCCTTCTGAAGCTCTTGCAAAAACTTGAAGAGAAAGGAATGCTTACTAATTTATTCTTTGAGGCCAGCATCACCCGGATACCAAAGCTTTCATGGGAGAGGCACTATTATACCTATTGAGGAAGGTAGTGAAACACAACAAAATGAAGTAACTTGCTCAGGTTCACAGCCAATGATTTCAGGATCTGAATTCATACACCCTGATTTGTAAAGCCCACACTGTTAACCAGGCTTTCATCACTAACAGCTGTAAAGGAAACTAATCCAAGGAAAGCCACAGAAAAATCTACACTTTTTTTTTTTGTCTTAACAATATTTGTTTTAATTTTGTTCTTTTTCGTCTAGGCCATTAAGATCTAATATCTTATTTCTCCCAGGGTACTGTGTTTTGGTACTCAATTTAAGTTAGTTGACAATAAAACTAAATGAAAGCATTTCTTTTTCCCTCCCTGCCCTTCAGTTGACTGGCAGGAGGAACCAAGCAGAGCAAGGAAGATATAGACCTCCATACTGTGTAACAGTTTCTCAACACTTATTTTCATAGTAAAAAGACCATCAGTTAACATATCCCTTCTTAATGGACCTAGACACTGAGACATAAGTCCAAAGTAACATGTTGTAAGATTTTTTTCTGTAAAGATTAAAGAATATGTATTCTAGCAGAAACACTCCTATTCAAACAATTAACTAAGCACACACCCAAAAAACATTTCCTTAACTCCATTAAAAAAAATTTTTAAGGCTCCATTCCTTTGTGGAAACGGAAGAGATTGTAAGTCCCTCTGTATCTAGGCTGCAGGACGGATGTGAGAATGTAGTAACTTACACTGGCTGTGCTGTGCCACAGGATTCCCCCATTCCCCTCTGTGGGTGCAAGATTTTCAGGGTCCCAGGATACCCTCTAGTAAAGACCATCTCTGTGAGGAGCAATGGGTAAAGGAGGCAGAGAGAGCACCAGATAAAACAACATAGAGTGACTTTACAAGGTCAAAACTAAATTACCCCAAAATTTTAAGTTTCAGGCATAAGGCAGTATGGCCTTGCCCCTGATTCCTGCCACTCCCCCCCACCCACCCCGCCCCAGCCCATGACTGTAACAAATATTTAGAAATAGGTGACTTCATTCAGAACATCCAATAAAGCCTTCACCTGAGAGAAGCTCCCAGGCCTAGACCTACCGTTAACCAGTGTGGTGAATCTGGTTATTGTTTTTATTAGCACAATGTTCCCGGTCGAAATATCTGGGAGGCTAGTCAACTGAGTGATTCAGTAAAACAGAAATCTCTGAAATTAGAGCTGCAAATCTGCATTTCTATAGGCTTGCCAGTTGATTAACTGTTCCCCTCCCCCACTTTTAAATAGTTGAGGGTATATATAATTAACATACAAAAACTGTGCATACGTTTCTTTTTAAATTAAAATTTTAGTAACATTCCAGTTTTCTGTCCTAAAGCTACCTCCTGAACCCAAAGTAGTTTCATTTGATTTTTGTTGGCTTTTGTTTTTAATCTTTCTACAGAGCATATAGGATTGGGCAGTGCAGGGATGTGAAAGTATTTAGGCTGATATCTTTGGGAACTGTGGAGGAGATCATGTACTTGCGACAGGTATACAAGCAGGTAAATATATTTCCCTTAATTAAGAAGTAAATATTTTTCTATTTCAAAAATTTCAGAAATTTGTGTAAAATATGTTTTTCACTTTATTCTAACATAATATGGAATGTAATAAGATTATGAAAAATACTGTAGAATAGATTCTGTAAAACATTCTTACATTCATTGAACTTCAGAGCTGAAATTTTCTCTGAGTAGTACTTCTTAAACTTTAATGTGTACATGAATTACCTGGGGATCTTTAAACTACAGATTCTGATTTATTCTGAGTGGAGCCCAAGATTCTACATTTTTTATAAGCTCCCAGGAGTGCCAACACTACTGCAGACCACAATTTGAGTAGCAAGGTCACAGCTCCCCAGTCTGTGGGCCAAAACATACTGGTATGCCACGGATGGAATACAGGTGCACTGACACATTGATCTCACAGCTCTCTGGGCAGCAAGATTACCTAACCAACTCCAGCCTTAGAAACCTTCTTCCCAGGTAGGTGTTCATGTTACCATTTTCTATATGTACCATTACATGAAGACAACTAGGAGGAAAATGCCTTAGAGATATCTAATGTAACCGTTTCATGTTGTACGTAATGAAAGTGGGACCCAGGGACACCCCAGTAAATGGAATTATAAGAATAGAACTCAAGTGTACTGACTACTGTGCTGATGCTTTTACTGTTCATCTGAAATTGTATTAACTCTTTAATATCCTTAGGGTATCAATTACCTCACCATTTAGGTCTCTAAATAAAATTTATTTAGTTTATAATTGCTCACTTGAGAAGATCTGGAATAAGGTTCAATTTAATTATAAATGTTAAATTTGAATTACTCCCTATATATTCTGTTGGCATCTATTTAAGAGCAAACATCTGCCACATGTGGTGGTAGTTAACCTAAGAATGATCCAATCTTAAATTTATCCTGTTTTCTTAATTCCAAGAATAGAATTGTACACAGCAGTTTTTGTTTTTTCTTAAAGCACTTAGCTCTGTAAGAAACCTTTCATCTTTTTATTTTTTGGTATAGCACAACTGCTTGAACATTATTTTGTTCAGATATATTTAACCAGTCTTGGAAAAGAATAGAACATTATTCTTTTTATCTTAGGAGCAGTTCTTTAGAATACTTGTCACAATCATGTGTAACTTTTCTGTCCCATTACTATATATTTGTAGCAATTTTATATACATTATATATATGTATGTATACATATATTGCATAATACTTTTACTTCAGAAGATGAGGATAATGTCAGTTTTTAGAAGTTGCTTGTTAAAATATTTCTTAAGCATGAGCCCTTTAGGGAAGATTCAGCCATAAAATTAATAGGCAAAAATCAAGATAATATGGCAATTGTGTGAGGAAAAGGCAATAGATATGGTTTAAAGGTTGACTGGAGTTTGAACTAAGAGTACATTTGGCATACACACTCTAACTAGCTTCCTGAGTATTCCTCAGATCCCTTGGGGGAAAAAATCCAAAAATGATTTTTAAAAAATGTTTATTATTTGAGAGAGAGAGAACAAGTGCAAAGGAGCAGGGGGAAGGCCAAAGAGAGAGGGAGAGAGGGGAATCTCAGGCAGACTCCGCTCTGAGTATGGATCCCCACACAGGGCTGGATCCCATGACCCTGAGATCATGACCTGAGCTGAAACCAAGAGTCAGACATTCAATGTCCTGAGTCACCCAGGCACCCCAAAAAATGTTTTAAAAAAACATAAAAAATTTGTAAAGTAAGAAGAGTTCTTTCTGTGGCCCAGAAGTTATAATGAACCCTAAAAGACAAAAGGCATTTGGGATCAGATTGAAGGAAGAAACCAAGCTAAACTCAGAAAGAGACTACTGAAAAAGGTAGGTGCAGCTTCTGGATATTCCAAGTTAGAGTCAGCAGATACTAAAAAGAAAAAAAATAATAATAAAAGAGTTGTAGGGTGACTGTAATGCCCCCTCTTTGGGGTATCATTGATGATCTAACAAAATGGGTTAGCCTCATATAATCTTACCCCATTTGTAGCAAGTTAGGTGTCCGTTCTCAAGTAGGAACAATAAATAGAAATACTGGAAGCAAAGAAGCAAGACAGAGCTCTGAAATTTTGCTGAAATTGACAAGAAAGTCCCTCCTGTTGCCTAGAAGATTAAATACTTGCACTTCCTAAATGATCACTGCAATAGGCTGAGATAAGAACTTAAGGTATTTGAAGACAGATGAGTACCCAACAAAAAAATAATTGTTGAACAGTTTAGGAAAAGAAACTATCAAAATGGCCCTGAAAGATATCAAACTCTAATCCCTGGAACCTATAAATGTTACTTTATGTTGAAAAAAAGGGTCTTTGCAGATGTGATTAAGAATTTTGCAATGGAGCAGGTAGCCTGGATTAGCCAGGTGGGCTCTAAATCACAAGTGTCCTTATAAGAAAAAAGCAAAGGGAAATCTGACACAGAAGAGAAAACAACGTTATCACAGAGGCAAAAATTGGAGTGATGTGGTCACAAGCTAAGGAATGCTGGCAGTCACCAGGAACTAGAAGAGGCAAGGAATGGATTCTGTAGAGCATCTACAGAGAACATGGCCCTGCCAAAACCTTGATTTCAGCCCAGTGATACTGATTTCAGACTTCTGGACTCCAGAACTGTAGGAGTAAATTTCTTTTAAGACACCAAGTTTGCAATTTGTTACAAGAGCCATAGGAACTATTCTAGGCACTCAAAAAGGAAAAGAGGAAGAAGAAGAAGAATTAACATCAGAGAAAATAAAAATTAATAGAAAAGAGTAAAAAAGATTTAAAAAATATATAAGTAATATTTTTCAAAAGGTAAGAGGAACCCCTGTGTGGTTCAGTCATTAAGCTTCTGACTTGATTTTGGCTCAGGTCATGATCTCATTGGTTGTGGGATTGATCAAGCCCCACTTCCGGATATGCACTCAGTGAGAAGTCGGCTTGGTGATTCTCTCCTTCTGCCCTCCTAGGTTGTAGGTTCCTAGAGATAAGAAAAGATTACCAGAAAAGGAATCCATTAGCATCCAGAAAATGAAGAACTCCGGAAACAGCCTGAGTAGCAGAGAGCAAAGTTTTCCTCTAAAAGAGCCAACAGTTGTTCTAGATTATAGAGCAGAAAGACAAAGATAGAATTCATGTAAGAAAAGCTAGGGGAAATGAATGCTAGATCTAGAAGTTCTGATACTAGTCTTATAATCAAAGAGGGGAATAGAAGGAAGGGAAGGAAAGAAACTCAAAATAAAGAAGCACATAAAAAGTAGAAAACAAGAGTCCAAGAATTAATGGGCCCACTGAGTGCTAAATGAAAATAGATCTACACTTACACTATCTTTCTATTATTATAAAACATAAAGGATAGAGTGAAAAATCCTTTAAATTTCCAGAGATAAACCTTCTGGAGAGAAAATTACCCTATAATAGTACTAGAATTAGATAAACATCTAACTTCGTATTAGTGATTCTGGATACTTAGGAGCTATCATTTCAAATGAGAGAAAATGATGCCTTATGTGGTCAAAGAAAGTAAAGTTTTAATTCAGACCTTTCTTGTAAAACAAGATCCTAACCTAGACGGTGAATTCTGTCAAACAATTAGCATTCTTTTTGGAAAGCAAAGGATGAGGGAACACATAACTTGTTTTAGAAAGATAGAAAAACGATGCCAAAATGTGACAAATATATTGCAAGAACAGAAACTTATAGACCAATATCTCTTATGAACATGAATGTAAAAATCTTTAATAAAGTCTTTGTTAGAAGTTGAATTGTGTGCTCCCCTCCAAAGAAAAGGTATGTTAAAACCCTAGCCCTGTTACCATGAAGGGGATCTTATTTGGAAGTAGGGTCTTTGCAGATGTAATCAAGTTAAAATAAGGTCATACTGGATTTGAGTGGGCCCTAATGCAATGACTGATATCCTTATAAGAAGGAAATTTGGATACAAACTGATGCTAGGAAGAATGCCATGTGATGAAGGAGGCAAAGATTGGAGTGATGTGGTTTCAAACCAAAATATCAAGGATTGGCAGGAACCTCTAGACATTAGGAAGGGTCTTCACTTGGAAACTTCAGAGGGAGCATGGTCCTGCCAACATCTTGATTTCAGACTTTAGCCTCCAGAACTGTGAGAGAATCAATTTTTGTTGTTTTAGCCACCCAGTTTGAGGCATTTTGTTAAAGCAGTCTTAGGGAACTAATACAGCCTCAAAGGCAAATATTATAAATTTAACTAACATTTTTATGTGAAATTTCTGCATGACAAAGGACCTACAAGCCAAATTTAAAAAGTATCTAGGAGGAAAATTTCCATATATATAATAAGCAAAGGATTAGCATCTATAGTACATAAAGAACTTTCACAAGCCAATAAAAAGACTATGATTAGATATTTTATTGAAGAAAAAATATAAATGGTTAACACATATATGAAAGGATGCCTAACTACAGTTTTAGTCTAGGAATATAAGACAATACTGTGGTATGCACACCCCCCTTTTGGTGTGTGGGGTTTTTTTTTGTTTGTTTTTTTAAGGGAGGTAGGGAGATTGGTGCTATTCATTGTTGGCGGAGGTATTTGTAAAGAGGTACTCATGCTATTTTTGAGAATATAACTTGGTCCATTTATTTTATAGGCTAAGTTAATAACGTTTTAAAACACATAGCACCGGGGATCCCTGGGTGGCTCAGTGGTTTAGCGCCTGTCTTTGGCCCAGGGTGCGATCCTGGAGTCCCGGGATCCAGTCCCACGTTGGGCTCCCCTCATGAAACTGCTTCTCCCTCCTCCTGTGTCTTTGCCTCTCTCTCTTTCTCTCTCTCTATCATAAATAAATAAATCTTAAAAAAAAAAAAAACACATAGTACTTTCTTCCTGACAGAAATACTCTCATATACATACAGTGAAAGGATAAGGATTTATATTCAGCACTGTTAGTATTTGTTTAAAAAAATGAAAAAAAAAAAAAACAGCCTAAATGTCCAGTAGTAGAAGGATGATAAGATAAATTCTGATGCACAGAACAGAAAAAGAAATTATAGAGAAGATGTACTGTTCTGGCAAGACCTCTAAGACGTTCTTTTTTTAATTTAAATTCAATTTGCCAACATATCGTGTAACACCCAGTGCTCATCCCATCAAGTGACCTCTAAGACATTTTAAGTGGGACCAAAACACCCAACTTGCAGAACAAGTACATCAATTATATTGATGCATAAAGTTATTTCTATGTGTATACATAAATAGCTTTAACTACAGTGAAAAAAGATCTGGAAGGATATGCCTAAACATCACAATGTTACTAAGACTGATAAAAGATGATTGGTATTATTCAAGATGGGCTTTCTTTCACTTTGATATTTTTGTTTGCATTGTTGTAATACTGCATTCAGATATTTTATACTTAAAAAAATAAAAACATCACTTACATAGCAACTGTACTCCTTCATGTTTAGAGCATTTCATATATTCTAAAGTTTGGCATTCGGAAATTCACCTTTCATCATTATATTTCATATAATTTAGAAATACATTTTTATTTGCAGAAGAATTGCAAATTGCAAGAATAGCTCAAAGAATACCCAATTAACTTCACCCAAATACCCAAGTTGTTAACATTTTATCACATTTGCTTTTCTCTTTCAGCCATGATCTTTATCTTTCTGAACATTTGAGAGAAGGTTGCAGATTTATCACTGGTTTTCTAGTGTGTATCTCCCTCAAGGGGAAGGACACTCTCCTATTAATATATACATATAAAAATAATTTTATGCATATAAGCACTCAGTTTTGTGTGTCATTCTGCACTTGCTTTCCACCCCTACTTTCCTCTCCAAAATGCAGTTATCTAAATCAAGGAACTAACACTGCACTGATACAACATTAATTTGTAATCCACAAAACTCAGTCAGATTTCACCAATTTTCCATGCAATTTCACCTTTCCTTTTTCTTTTCTGGTTCAGGATAATGATTATAGAGTATTTCTTTTCATGTCTCTTTAGTTAACTTTAACCTGGAGTAGTTACCCAAGCTTTACTTGTCTTTCATGACCTTCACTTCAAGTGTTAAAAGAGTAAAGTCTTTCCTTGTGTTAGCTTTCCTTAAAGTAGGTCCATTTGATGTTTTCAGTTACTTAGGTTGTAATTTAACTTTGGTGAAATACTGATGATTTTTGTAGCTCCTATTTTAATGAGTCTTGAAAGGAGAAAAGTGTATTCAAATGTATGCTTTTATCATTAAACATTTTGCATTAAGTGAATATTGCATACTGATGGGATCTTGACTCAGTTGGTAGAAAACAGATAAAATAGTAAATGTAAAATCTCAAGATCTCTTCTTCAATAAAACTGGCCCAATTACTATTATTTCACCATAATGGCAACATCTGCCAGGGAAATTAAAATAAATTTTCTTCCCTAAGGAGATTCTGCCTCTCCAGCTAAAGCTGTGTATATACAGAGAATGCCAGGAAATTCTGACATATTGTTGGAGCAAACACTTCAAAAATATCTTGTGTTTTTTCTGTTTTAGCAACTTCACTGTGTGGTGGTTGGAAGTGAAAATGCCAAGCGATATTTTGAAGCAGTTCAAGGATCAAAAGAGCATCGAGGAGAGCTGTTTGGGGTCTATAATCTCTTCAAACTAAGGTCTCAAGGGTCTTGTCTTACGAGGGACATCTTAGAGGTGTGAAATTGTTCCCTGATCTTTTCAGTAATGTTTTAAATATAGTTTTCTTCCTCAAATATAATTGCTAGTACCTTTTCAGAGAAATTTGTGGTTTTCCTGATAAAAAATGCCTGTGTTTAGGATTTCTACTTTTAGAAAAATAAATTAATTTTTGTACCTCTAAGCTAAGATTTCCCTATGCATAATTGTAAATAATGTATATATACAAATACAGATACACATATTAGATAGTATGACCTCCAAGACCATTTTCAGACTGGAAAGAAAAGTATATTATTTTGAAAACAGCTGCTAAAGTCAGGAACTAAAAAAAAAAAAAAAAAAAAAAAGGAGAGACTTTCCTAAATAAACAAAAATATAAAATGTGTTTTGATTAAGAATTACCAAATACTCCCTGAGATACACTCTCATGTCTCATGGAGATTTTTGTTTTCTGTTCCCAATAAAAATTCCACACCAATATTTCAGACTCTCCCAGTTATGTTCATCCTCAGCATACAGATGTTTCTTATTCTTCAAACAGAAATTTATATCTTTTTTTTAAAAACCTAGCTTAAGTTCTTTGATATATCAGGATACTAAGGGTATTAGCCTATTTTCTAGTCGATATTGATGTATCATAACATCCTGAAATATCCTCTTTCTCAATCCCCTCATCATGTAGACAAGGAAAGTGAGTCTCAGAAAACTCAAAGACATTTTCCGTAACTCAAAGACTTTGTAGTAAAGCCTTCACATACTTTATTGATTTCATCAGTTTTATAAAAACAGGTCAAGAACAATTGGTCCCTGTGCTTAAAGAACTTAGACCATCTTGACAAGAGGTAAAAGAGAATACTTACATAATGAACATGTAATATCAGTAAGCATGGTAAGATGCTAAGAAGGAGGCAAGTATGTGTGTATCCTGTGAATATTGCAACTGTTACGCAGTACCTCATGTACTGCTGAATTTAATTTTATGGTAACTATTTGATTTCAATTGAGTGTCCCATTTGAAGTCCCCCTGTCCTGGGGTGCCTGTCTGAGTCAGTCAGAAAAACATGCAACTCTTGATCTCAGGGTCGTGAGTTCAAGCCCCATGTTGGATGTAGAAATGACTTAAAAATAAATTTTAAAAATAAGTTACTCTGCCTTTTTCTTCTTCTGAATATGCTGTCTCTTTCATGGACTCATTCTTTCCCATTCCTCTTTTATAAAGTAGCCTTGTTAGTATTTCGGGTCCCCCTCAGATATACTTCCTTCTCAGAGCAGTACCCAACATACCATCTCCTATTTGTGTTTCTCATTTGAAATTATTGCCTATGAAGTTTGTTAGTATTATATTACTTATCCTCTTTTCTGTTATTTATCAAATATTCAAGTTCTATATTTTATCAGAATAGCAACCTATCCCTTAAGGAAATGTTAGGGTAAGACATTCAGTATGACAACTTATTAAATGGAAAGTTCTATTGTTTTCTGGTTGTCCTAAGTATATCTTATTATCCAGGATTGTTTATTAATGACAGGACTCTCCATGTCTTATATTTTGTTTGTGGTAACATGTGCTTAACTTCTTACCAGTAGGCACATCATCAGCACCGCAGTATTAAATTTTGAATTAAAACTGCTCTTCTGGGGACACCTATTTGGCTCAGTAGTTGAACATCTGCCTTTGGTTCAGGTCATGATCCCAGGGTCCTAGGATCAAGTCCTGCATCAGGCTCCCTGCAGGGAGCCTGCTTCTCCCTCTGCCTATGTCTCTGCCTCTCTCTTGTGTCTTTCATGAATAAATAACTGAAATCTTTAAAAATAAAAAAATAAAAATAAAATTGCTCTTGTGTTATCAGCCAGAATTTAAAATTATTCAGTCCAAATGTTTACAGGCTAGAATAAATGTCTCTCCCCATAAATAGATAGATAGATAATTAATTAATTAATTAATTAATTAATTAATTCAGGCATAGTTAGATTCATGTTGCTTTTGGCCAAACAATGTTTTAAAATATTATTATTCCAAGCCCTATATAATGGAAGCATATATCTCAAAATAAAATAATTATTTCACTTCCTGAGATATTTTTAATTTTTAAAGATTATAGAAAATTCCTTTTAAAATGTTTTAAGATGTAGAAATGTTTATTTATAAAACACTTTTAATCTGATGATTTCCATGCAATTTAGTTCTACTTTGCACTGACTTGTTCTCTATATCAAGTTTCCCTTGAGAGATAGATATTGAGAGCTAATTTCACAAATATTTATTGAGTATATGCTAACTGTCAGGTATTATACATCCTAAAGCTAGGTATACAGAAATGAATAAATACACAAAAAGTCCTACCTATAAAAAACTTACATTCTATTCTGAGGAACTAAACAGTTTACAGAAAAAATGATGCATGTAGTATGTTATGACAGTAGGCTCTAAGCACAAAAATATAGCAGGTAGAAGATGAATGACTTCTGGAGAACTAATGCCCAGCATCATGATTATAGTCAAATGATACTATTTTATAAACCAAATTGTTAACGGAATAGATTTTAAATGTTCTCACCACAAAAAAGTAATGGTCATTCTGTGGCATGATAGAGGTGTTAACTAAAGCTATAGTGGTAATCATATTGCAATATATAAATATCAAAACATGTTGTACACCTTAAATGTATATAGTGGTATATGTAAATTATATCCTAATTTTAAAAAAAATAGAGCAGGGGAGGGAAATAGGAAGACTGTCAAGGAAAAAGCATTGCAGTTTTAGATAGAGTAGCCAAGGAAGTGCTCACTTGAGGTTTCAATTGATTCCTTGAGGAGATGAAGGAGGAAGATGTGTTTAGAGAAGAACAAATACAGAGGTTCCACAGGAGGAGCATGCCCAGCAGAATTTCAAGATGGCAGGAAAGCCAGAGTGACTGGAGTAGAGTGAGGAGGAGAGCAAGAGATGGGGCCAGAGAGATGACAGGAAGCCAGATTATGTGGGGACCCTTAGACAAAAAGCAATTAGTGGCTTCTGAATAGAAGAAAAACAGAATCTGACTGCCCAATCTAGACTAAATATTAAGAATTAAGCCACAGAAGAACAAAAGCAGAAGCAACACACCAGGTAGGAGGATACTACAATAATTCAGCCAACAGATGATGAGGGTTTGGATCCGAGCAAGAGTGGTGGATGGTGTGAGAAGTGGCTGCATTCTGTATATATTACCTAGGTGGTGCTGACAGTTTTTGCTAATGAATTAGATATAAGGTCTGAGAAACAAGATGTTTGGCCTGAGAAACAGAAGACTGGAGTTGCCGTTTACCTATCACAAAGGGCTTCCTACAGGACTGAGATTTCTGGTGCTGCCAGTTCCATTTGTTGTAGCCACTTGGCTTCTGTTGAAGGGATAAAGACAGTACAGGGAGGGGACACCACCCCCCCACACACACACACACTTCCCTTGCAGAAATAGCCTCTTGGCATTGGGAGAAAAGATCTCAAAGAACTGTTTATTATTCTCTACAGTTCTGGAGGGGAGATTCTTGTTACCTTGGATACCAGGTGGCTGGAACCATGCCATTGGTATATATGTGTAAGTTGGGCATTTGTAACTCCAGTGACGATAGTAGTATTTCCCCTTGTTCAGTCAACAAATAAAGCCTTAAAAAGAGAAATAAGTTTATTTCCTTTTGAAGGAGAATTTAATATTCTAGAATCTAGGCCATTAAATACCTTTGCTGAATGGTATACCAAAATCTTTAAAAGCATAAATACTTTCCCAAAAGATATAAGAAGCCTGTTACAGATGAAGATTTTTTTTTTAGTTTCATATTAGATAGGCCTTTTCATTTGATGTTTATTACACCAAAGGAATCAATAAACATTTTAATGAATATGAACAATAAATACACTAGCAATATAGGCTATAATATCAAGTTCCCAATATTCAACATTATCTGTAGGGTTTGAGATGCTAATAATATCTTCTTACTACAACTGTTATGTAGACTATTATGCAGTTACTATGGATATCGTTACTGGGTAAATATATAATATTTTTTTTATTCTCATTCCCCTACTAGAATTAGTGGAGTTGGCTGAAAGGTATTATTTTCTATCTGAAAAAGAAACTTTAAGACAAGAAATTAGAGTACTTTATGAGTCCAGCACACTTCCACTATATCTCTCTACTACCTAAGAATTATGAGCATTTTAAAATGTGTAAACTGGGGCAGCCCGGGTGGCTCAGCGGTTTAGCGCCGCCTTCAGCCCGGGGCATGATCATGGAGACCCGGGATCCAGTCCCATGTCAGGCTCCCTGCAAGGAGCCTGCTTCTCCCTCTGCCTGTGTCTCTGCCTCTCTCTCTCTCTCTCTCTCTCTCTCTCTGTCTCTCATGAATAAATAAATCTTAAAAAAAAAAGGTGTAAACTGTATATGAGTTTGTATTAACAAAATTGAAAAATAACATTAAGGAAGCTAAAGCAGTGCTTGCTTTGGCAGCACATATACTAAAATTGGAATGACACAGAGAAGATTAGCATGGCCCCTGTGCAAGGATGCCACACAAAATCATGAAGCATTCCATATTTTTAAAAAAGAGGTAAAGCATCCTGATCTCAGTCTGCCTTTCTTAACTCCAAGTTTTCGTATGTTATTGCTATTGTTTGTCTGGTTGTTTTTCCCCCATATTTTACAGTTATTTGCATTCTTAATAGAGAGAAGGCAAAGTGGAGGCAGGAATCATGACAGCTACAACATGGTTGAAAGAGGAACCTCCAGTACACAAACAAGAGATGGTATGCAATTTTTGAATTTGTAAACTAGGACTCCTAGAAAACACTTACTGGGACAATTTTAAGTTATTTTTCCTTTTTTTCATTTTTTCAATGTATAAAGAAAAAGGTCTTAAAAAAAGTCAAAGACACAAAATCAGAGGCCTGTCAGTTAAATTAACCATTTAGGCTAATTTAACATTTCATATAAGAATAAAGTCAAGAACAATTCACCAGTCATTTACATCCAAACTGGAATTTTAACTATACCAAACTATAAATTCAAAATTAAATACACTGAATAGGTTAACAAACTAAATAGGTTTTCACTAAACAAAAAACTAAATGGAAAAATAATAAAATGTGTTTAAGATTATGAAATCCAAACATCAAAATTATTCTCTGACTCAAATATTCTATTGTATTTGAGTCTTTGATCTTGTGATCTTTTTGGTAGTTTGTCATCTCACATTCTACAAAATCTATATTGTCATCATAAGGCCTCTTTAAAAGTAAAGAATATACATAGGGAAAGTTTTTTGTTATTATTCTTGCTGATTTTTTCCTGCCTTTAGGGATTTAACTATACATTTATACCAGCTTAATGATTTGAAATATGGGATAAGTATTTATCTAACTTTATAGAAATACATGAGTAGTAATGTTGGCAGAAGTATTACTGGATTAAAAAAGTATTACTTGATAATACTTTCCCAAAATCTTTTACTAATAAATAATAAAGTCTCAGTTTCAAGAAACTGAAGGATATATTTAGCTCTGATTGATATAAAAATAATAAATTCTGGATTTCAATTTGTAGCAAATTTTACTTCAGAATATCCAAAATATTTTATTTCTGATGGTCAAGATCCTGTCAGATCTTAATATTTTTAATCTGTTAGAACAATTTCCCACTTGTGAATTCCTTACTTTGTTAATGCCTACACATTTGTTTTTTTCTTAAAGTGTGATTGGAAATGTGTGCTGGACTATATAGTAAGCAAGTTGTGTACTTTTGAGACCAGAATCAGTCCCTACGTCTTAGAAGGTGACTGCTCTGCTCTGTGTTTTCCATATAGATAATTCAATTACCTCGTATTCTGTATAAACTTTTATTTATTTTGGAAAGTTATTCAACTTGAAAAAAGACTGTACTAGACAGTAATATTCTGTACTTTTGTTTATAAAAAATTGTACTTTTAGAAAATACCAAGTGATATATTAGTTATCTGCCCAAATTTAATTCCCTTCCAGTGTGATAGATTTGATACTATCTTGACATTTTCTAATGTTTCTGTGACTGTTTCTTATATAGTCTAGAGAGCCTGACTGTCAAGAACACAGAGGTCTAGAACAACCTGCAGAGTTGCCAACAAAAGAAACATGTGATCCCTGCAGTGATTTTAGTGATGATGAATCATTGGGAAACTCAAGAATAAAGACTGCTAAAAACAAAGCATCTGACTCAAGTAAAGCTTCAGGTTCTCCTGGACAGCTTACCTTACTCCATTGTGGTTTCTCTAAATTGTTTGAAACAAAATGTAAAGCAGTTGAGAACAGTGATGGAAATATTGCCTCTGATGATGAAAGTTCTGATGAACAGCCCATGTGTCTTTCAGTAGAAGCCAAAGATGTTGGTTATCAGAAAAGTCATGACTCTCTTGGTACTTCACAACATCAGAAATTAACTAACATCCTAAATCCAAATGAAAAATGTACTTTTGATAAAAGTGAGAAAATTTTTGAACAAAATATTTCTTCTGAGTCTGATGATGAGAAAAAATTTAAAAATACAGCTGACCCCCATTGCATTTTACACAGTGCCACAGAAGCAGAAGATAGTGATGTCATCTTTCCCACACAATATACAACTCAGAGATGCCCTAAGAATGGTATAAAGTTTAAGCCACTCGTGGATGGATCTCAAGATTCTGAAACAGAAAATCCTATAAAAATAAGAAATAATGGTGATGATAGAAAGACTGATGTCAAAGGAAAGAGATCAATTTCAAAACAATTAAATCCTGAGAATGTGACCCTGAAATCTATTATGAAAAGAAAAGGAAGTAGTGATATTAGTGATGAGTCTGATGACATTGAAATTTCCTCTGAGTCAGGAGTAAGAAAGCGAAAAGCTACAAGTTCTTTGAGGTTTAAGAGAAAAAAGGAAAATAAAAAAGAAGTTCGCACTTTTCCTAAAACAGTGAGGAAAACATATCAACCTTATGCAGCAGATGGAGATTGTAACTCTCAGGCTGTTGATGATTTTTCATCCTCAGATGACGATTTAACTGTTCACCACATCAGTTTCTCTAAACAGAGCCATACACAAAAAACTATGAAAGATAGAATCAGTTTCTCTTCAAAATTGCCTAACCATAAGAAAAATAGCATGTTTGTGCCAAGAAAATCAATGAAATTTTCAAATGAGAGAGCTGTCAATCAAGAGGGAATGAATGAATCAATGGATAAATTTTTAGGTAACTATAGATACATTTTGAAAACTTTATGTTACATATTTGTTTTTCATAAATAGTTCTTTAAGAGATTCTTGAATTAGCTTGTAAAATAGTTCTGTAATCAAGCTGCTACATTGAGGCACAAATGAGGAGGTGGGTGGATGTCAGGGTAAAGGAAGACCACCTAGGTCAACATAGAGAACTTTGTCATCCACCCCAGGACCTTTCCATGTGCCCCATCTGAATCACAGCCCCCACCAGACTTCATTTAGTCTTGACCTGTAGGTAACTAAAAATTTAATGCTTCTCCTCAGTCCTTTTTCAGTGTCTTTCCAGTCAGTTTGGTTGTCAAAGCTTATTTTCTAGTAGATCCCTCAGGCAGCACTCATGAGAATAATATTCCCTGAGATTCCTACTGGTAACAGTGTGTGCCCTTTATACTTAAAAGTCATTTTTTGCCAGATAAAAAATCGTTGACTCACACTTTCTTAAGTATTGTAAATACTTTTGGCATGAAGTGTTGTATCACATGTTCTTTTTGTTCCCCCTTGATGCCCAAAAGAATTTCCTTTCTTTTCATTATTGTCCAGTAAATTTATTAGATTGTGTTTGAATGTTTGTTATAGTTCGAGTTGCTCTAACAAACTACTACATACTGGGTGGCTTAAACATTTGTTTCTCCTAGTTCTGGAGAGTAGAAATCCAAGATCAGGATGCCAACATGGTTAGGTTCTTGGTTAAGGCCCTCATCCTGGCCTACAGAAGGCTGCCATCTTGCTGTGTCCTCACATGGTAGAGACAGAAATCATCTCTCTTGCGTCTCTTTTTTTAAGGGCACTAGTCCCATTCATTAGTGCTCCACCCTCATGACTTACTTACCTCCCAAAGGCCCAACCCCCAAGTACCATCACTCTAGGGATTGGGGCTTCAACATACAAATTTTGGAGGGGCACAAACATTTAGTCCATTGCAGTATTGGTTATTCTGGGTCAGTATTGCCATAATATATTTTCAACTCTGTTTTTATTTCAGGAAAGCTTTCTTGTACTAGTATTTTTTTTAAAGATTTTATTTATTCATGAGAGACCCAGAGAGAGAGAGGCAGAAACACAGGCAGAGGAGAAGCAGGCCCCATGCAGGGAGCCCGATGCAGGACTCAATCCCAGGACCCTGGGATCACGCCTTGGGCCAAAAGCAGGTGCTCAACCACTGAGCCACCAAGGCATCCCTTGTACTAGTATTTTTAAGTTACTTTTTCTATTCCTTTGCCTTGGCTTTCTTCGTTAGAGACTCCTGTTATTCAAATATTCAATTTCCTTTGCCTGTCTTCAGTATTTGTCATGTCTCAAATCCATTTTTATCTTTTTCATTTCTTTTCGCTTTTTAAAAATATCCTTCCATTTTCCTTTAAGCATTTGTTATTGTGTTTACTCCCTCTTTATGTTCCTTCTAGTTTAGTCTTCATTTCTGATATATTTTTTAATTTCTAAATCTTTCCTGAGTCCTGTCACCCATTTCTGAGGTTTTCTTATTATGTTATACTTTGTTTTGAAATCAGTTACAATTTTAATCTGCTCTGTGAGTATGTGTTTATGGCATATTTTCATCCTGCTGTTTATTATTTTTTCTCTTATGGTAATTTTTATGAGATTTGACCCTCTTGGCTCATTTTTATGGAAATAATTTTCTCTGAATTTTTTAAGCAAGAGTTTAGGAATTTTTTTCTAATTTCACAAAGATCCGTATCTTTTTTTTGTAGGGTGCTCAGAACTGTGGTAGCATTTACTGCCTCTGTCATACCCACTGCTTTGCTCTAGACCTTCTCTTTCCCTCATTCCTAATCTTCCTATCCTGTTCATTTTGACTCCTTCCCCACAGTTTTCCTTCATTGTGTGGCCCTAACATGGGAGCCTTGGTGGGTCAGTTGGGGAAGTTCTAAGAGCTAGTTTGCTTCAGTTTCTCAGGCTTTCTTAGCATAAGCACCCTGCACCCACTCAGCACTGGAGAATGGAAAACCTTCCCAGGTTCATCTACTTAGCTCCAAGGGGCCCACTGTGCTGTCCAGGGCATACCTGTTGGCTATCCTACTCTCTCCTGTTCTCAGATCCATTAGATGCCACCCTGTTGCTTCCTACACCACACTGTGATGTTGTGCACAGTGTAGCTATTGCTGGATTATCCCCATCTATTTTTATTTTAGGGTTCATGGGGGGTGTCTTGTTATCTTCATTTGTTGTATGGTTTTCCGTGGCTCTTTGTTTTGCTCACTAATTGCTGGCTGTTTTATGTAAGGATTCAGAAATTGAAATATTGCTTCCCCTGCCACCACCATCTGCTGAGAATCTGTTTAGTGATTTTAAAAGTTATCATTGCTTTGAAAGTATCTGACTCATTCCCCAAAAAAACTGTGAAAGAAGCAGATATATAAGCAAGGATAGTTTGTTACAGAAATTCAATCATTGTGTTTGACTTACATATCAAACTTTCTTTTGTGGTTATTCAAAAGTTCATTATGATATATATTTTGATAACCCTTGTAACTAAGCACTGGACTATCCCTTTGGTTTGTCTGCTCTAATTAGATTTAGGTATGAGGAATTGTTGCATTAACTGTACTTTAAAAGATCAGCTGAGTTTTGTTTTTGTTTTTTACTGTGTAAAAGATGTGAGTAGTGTGGGACTAATGCTATTTTGAATAATGCATAAAACATGTATCAAAATTAAGAAAAATCCGAGTAAGTTTTCTACCAGAAGAATCTTTGAATATACACACTACCTGATATTTGATATTAAGAGATTTAAGGAGGATGTTATCGTAGTTTTTCTTTTTGTTATCTTATTTAACAACATCTTGTTTTTCTTACGATTGTCAGTTTTCATTGAAAGAGGTTCAGGACTGAAATAGCACAAGTGTTGAAGGTCATAATTAAGGTTCATTGCCAGAGATGTTTGAGGGAGCCTTCACAGACCTCAGTTCTAGCCTTCTCTTTTATGACCACAATTTAAAAGTAAATTATAGGTACCTAGGAGCAAAGCAATAAAAAAAAAAAAAAAAGTAGCCATTTTTTAAACTCCTTCAGATAAAGGCTGTAAGTTAATTTTTTTCATTTCCTAAAAAGCTCCCAATCTTGACAGTCTCTGGCATATGTACAAAAAAGACAAAATACAAACAGTGAAACTGAGCAAAGCCAACCAAATGAAACTTCCTGGTCATAAACCCCATATTCCCCCTCCACTGCTGTAATCAAGTACATGTTTAAAGGAACAGATAGATGAGGCCAAGCACTGCTGTTTAAATTAGTAAACAGGTTTTTTTTTAACCAACAGAAACAAATCCATAGAGATGACCCTTCACCGTGACTTTTCTCTTAGCTAAACCCCTCATTTCAAGTTTAAAGATTGTTATCTAATCTCAGAAGTTCTCATATTGATGATAAGTCATTTCCAAGTTAACCTAGACAAATATATTTAAACTCTTCAATTTTTTAAAAAATAGAATATTGTGATGTTAACATATGAACTCAGTGTTTTTCTTGAGGATTAAAAATAAAATATAGGGATCCCTGGGTGGCTCAGCGGTTTAGCGCCTGCCTTTGGCCCAGGGCGCGATCCTGGAGACCCGGGATCAAATCCCACATCGGGCTCCCGGTGCATGGAGCCTGCTTCTCCCTCTGCCTATGTCTCTGCCTCTCTCTCTCTCTCTCTCTCTCTCTGTGACTATCATAAATAAATAAAAATTTAAAAAATAAATAAATAAAATAAAATAAAAATAAAATATAACCTCTTTTTTAATGTGTAGCTGATAATTTTTAAAGTGCACATGGAACCATATTCTTTCACAATGAGACATCACTTAATAAACACCAATTGCCTCTCAGATGGTGTTCAGGAAGTGGCTTATATTCACTCCAACCAGACTGTGATTGGATCCAGCAAAGCTGAAAATCACATGAGCCGATGGGCAGCACGGGATGTGTTTGAATTGAAGCAGTTTTCCCAGCTTCCTGCCAATGTTGCTGTTTGTACTTCTAAGGTAAGAGAACATAGGATACTGACATCTTTAGTATTTAGAAGTCACTCAATAGGATCTTCTCTAAATACTCCATCAAAAGCGGCTATACTATAAATGCTGTACAAACAAGTGTAAAAAAGAGAATGCCATTTGGAGCACTGCTGTCGCTAAAAATGTTTTATATTAAAAGGCAAATCTATATCTAGATTGAATAATGTTGAGCTGCTTAACAGTTTCCCTTAATAAAAGTTTGCCAAAAAAATGAGAAATCTGAGGGAATCATGCAGTTAAATCAGAACCAAAACCACTTCTACTTATATAGAAAATGGGAAGTGTATGATTAGATTTCTTTCAGAATTTTTCATCTAACATGAAGGTACATGTGAAAATTAACTTTATATAGAATATATATATATATATATGCATATATATATATTTTTTTTTTGAGAGAAAGAAAGCATGCACGAGGATGAGCCAAGGGGTGGGGAGAGAGGGGCAAATGGAGAGAGAGAATCTTTAGTAGTAGGCTCTACACCCAGTGTAGGGCTCTATCTCATGGCCCTGAGCCAAAATCAGGAGTTAGACACTTAACCTACTGAGTCACCCAGTGCCCTTAGAATTTATATTTTTAGCAAAATGATTCATAAAATGTTAAAAGTAATAAATACTTTTGTTTAAAATTACTGTTATATAAAAAATAAGACTTTATATAAATATGGTATTTTATTTACACATAGTCACTTTCATTAAATATTTTTTTTAATATTTTCTTCTCTTTGGCTTATTCTTTATTACTAAGAACTGAGTGTCTGAGGAGTAGTTTTTCTGTCACTTTACGTGTAGGAGTTAAGAACAGGTACTGCATATAACAATGATACTTGGTTTCTAGTCAATACTACTGTTAAGAATGAAGGGGGTAATGCCTCTGAACTGTCAAGCTGTCTTTATTTATTTGTGTACTTCCTCTGGTTCCACAAAGGATTTGGATTGTCCTCACAATAAAATCAGAATACAAAATGAAATTCAGAACCAAGGAAAATATAAATTAAATTAGAAGTTCAGGCCTGAGAGAAAGTTAGAATGCAGATATATAGGACATAGTGTTCCTACCTAGATATTTTTTTAAATGACAAATTTGATTGAGTTTCCTGGTAGATAAAACAAAGGAAGTAAACTATTTATTTAGTGTTTTCTCAGCTACTGCATTTGGAAATGTGTGTGGACACTTTGGGTGGTCACAGTGACCAAGTGGCATTAATCTCTGAAGACTGGGATACCTAAACAGCTGTCATGGGGACATTTCCTAAATGCCGAAATGCCATAACACCCTGCTGAGAAACACTGAGCTAAATGGTTGCCCTTAGGAAAAGGAAAAAAAAAAAATACTAGCTCTTCTAAGGAGAAAGAAAGCTCTTCTTAGCACTTAGAGGGAATTTGTCACCGGGGATTTTAAATGGTGACTACTGAATGATCTAGTGAGCAGTCAGTTGTCTTATCCTTAGACTAAATGTAATAACGGACCCTGAAAAGCTGTGCTTTTTAGCACTTTTCACTGTATTCCAAAGACATGATGCCACAATACAACACATGAAAGCATTCTTTCATGACCCAAGTATGCTACCCTTTCATATTCTCATTAGATCTAGGAATACACCTTGTCTCAACCAGCACTGTAGAGAGCATTTCCACAATTTGCCTACCTTGTAGGAGCTATCTGCAAAATGTAAGTAGAAACATGCTGGGTTTGCCAGAAATTTGCTATATTGGAGTGAAGACCCCAATCAGAATCTCTTAAATAGCTAATTTTTTCTCATTTTATTTTTTAACTATATTTCTCCTTTTTTTTAACCATACCCTTATCCAAACAAACTTTAATGTAAAAATGTCAGAATGTTTAGCAAACCCTTGTAATAGATGCTAATGAAATAATTTAACTGGGTATTGATTATTGGTTTATTTAAATATTATTGGTTTATTTAAATATTTCTCAGAAAAGAGATTTGCAGCCTCATATATTCCTCCCAAAATGGACATGAGAAGCAACCACCTAAATATGAAAGCAATAAAACATCCCTTTGGAACCTTCTTTAGGCAAGTTGTAAAAATGAAAACACTAGATACATATTTTGCCCTCGTTTAGACAGAGGACTGAGGCAAATGAATTCCTTTATCCTTACATTAGCAATCGCAGTAGTTCTCAGTCTTTTTTAGTCCCAGCATTCTTGAGGCAGACAGCACAATCTCATCAGAAACTTTGTCTCTTCACAGTGATTTTTGGAGTGAGGGACATTTCTTACCAAGAAACAGATTGAAATATCCTCTAGGATTTCTGACATGCCCTTTGAGGCTATTTGTCTCCCCATCACACACAGACTAACTTAATAAACCTTTTTCAGGACGTATCAAGAAATTTGTTGTTGAATGACTCAATCATAGTGGGTGTAAAATATCCAGGGAAGTTTTAAAGCCACTAAGCAGGAGGTCCAATCCCATGCCACCAATGCTAGCAGGCCAAGAACAGTCTGTACAAACATGCTCATCTCAGCAGCCAACTTCTCTAAATCAATACAGTAAAATTCCAGTAGAATAAGATTCAGACTTTACCTCTGCCATTTAATGCATCAGGTTAATAATATGGCTGTACTTGCTTGAGAGTTGTAATGTATTACCTGTATACAAAAAACCACTTGGAGATAGTACATGACTTAGCATTAAAAAAGAAAAGTCTTACTTGTTATAAGAACATCAGAATTTTTAAATTGAATAGTGATCTCATATTTGTGATGTTTTAGTTTCTCACATCAAAAACTAAAATTACTGTATTTTTTACTAAACTACAATTCCTGAGACATGTCTTATGCTTTCCTCCTTTTAGTTTGATTAGTAATAAAGAACATTGAATTTCATTTTCCATTTGTTGAACTCTGTAATCTTCCAGGGACAGAAAGAATTTTGATAGTTACAACTAGCCTATGGCATGAACTCTACTCAGAATGTCACAGTTTGGATTCTAGCTCTACCTTGTCCTTCCTTTGTGACCAGGAGAAAGGTACTTACCTTCTCTGTGCTTCAATTTTTTTGTCTTTAAAATACAAATAATTATACTTCTTACCTCAAAAAGTTGTTGTGAAGACTGAATGAGGTAAAACGTCCCAGACAGTGCCTGACACAAAGGTTAGCACTCAGTATCTTTTTTTTTAATAAATTTATTTTTTATTGGTGTTCAATTTGCCAACATATAGAATAACACCCAGTGCTCATCCTATCAAGTGCCCCCCTCAGTGCCCGTCACCCAGTCACCCCCACCCCTGCCCACCTCCCCTTCCACCCCCCCTAGTTCGTTTCCCAGAGTTACGAGTCTCTCATGTTCTGTCTCCTTTTCTGATATTTCCCACTCATTTTTTCTCCTTTCCCCTTTATTCCCTTTCATTATTTTTTATATTCCCTAAATGAATGAGACCATATAATGTTTGTCCTTCTCCGATTGACTTATTTCACTCAGCATAATACCCTCCAGTTCCATCCACATCGAAGCAAATGGTGGGTATTTGTCGCTTCTAATGGCTGAGTAATATTCCATTGTATACATAAACCACATCTTTATCCATTCATCTTTCGATGGACACCAAGGCTCCTTCCACAGTTTGCCTATTGTGGACATTGCTGCTATAAACATCGTGGGGTTAGCACTCAGTATTGTTACCACCGGGTAACGTTGGGTCTCTGATTCCCCTAGAAGATGGATATCAATGAGGCAAAATAATCCATAAATAGTTGTATGCAACCATATTTAATTGCAAGTTAAAGGATGGATGATATTAGCAGATCTGGAGCTTTGACTCCCATAAAAAGAAAAACATGACTATTCATGGTAGAATATCTTTCAGAATTTTATATGTGACTACTGCGTTTTTGCTTATGAAAATAGAAAGCCACTCAGTACTTTGTAATTTATATTAGTTTATTTTAGATATTCTGTGTTAAAATTGGAGATATTAGTAACTTTTCTGTGTAAAGCTGATAGATTTACTTGGTTTTGATTCATCAATTAAAGTGACTGCTTTTAATTCAAAATATCTCCATAGCTGCTGACAGACATTCAAATGAGTGAGACATCACTCTGCCATCAGACTAGTCATTTTGTATTATTTTTGTACATATTGTAAGTCTTCTGGAAACTACATGCCACTTCAGTGATGTCAGGGAGATGGGACAATGGTGGTATCATTTTTCTCTTTACTAAAACTATTTGCAAAGATGGTTAAATTAAGGATTTCTGGAGAGACTTTTTAAAATAATATTATTTTACATAGATGGGATATTGATGGCATTTCAAAGCCATCTCACAGAAGTTCTAAGAAAAATATTCACAATCACCAATTTCATCATATGTGGTCAAAATTACTTCAGTACCTTTAATGAGTAAATTACTGAAACACACCATCATTTTTGGTTAGAGATATGTATGTCACTCACTGAGAGGGTTGTAATGTGTTGGTGGCAATAGTCTGTGATGGCAATAGTGAATTTGAGTTTTGAAAAAATTAAAAATTGTTATGAAAAGAAAAGAAACTAAGGTAAAGGGAAACAAAGCAAGGTGAAAACAAAAGAGACTCAGCCATAGTGTCAGAAAATATCTGCAAACTTCTTGCTTCTAAAGTCTCCAGAAATCCCCAGACCTCCCACCTACAGTACAGTATCTTTCATCTTGGGGCTCACATCCAGAATCTTTATTGCTGAGAATTCTTCTGAGTGCTTCTTGTCTGTCACCAAAATTTTATTAGAGACCTTTATTTGTGTTTGAAAAGATTGTGTGTGTGCGTGCATGCATGCGTGTGGTCTGTGTGTGTTGTCTGTGTGTCTGCAGTCAGATGCAGATGTGTTGTTTCACTTCCTAAGAAAATGAAACAAATCCTATTTATTTGTATGAAGGCAACACACAATTAACAGTGGTCACACTAAGTAAGTATTTCACTTTCCAGGGAATACTATAGTTGAGTCTAAGTAAGAGCTTTTAACTA